AAGCCGTGACCAGCGAGCCATAGTAGACTCCAGCCTCAAAAACAGCCCACGATGAGGGTGACCCTGGACACCACCTCGGCACAAGGCCGCCCCTCTACTATAACATACTACTGCCGCACCCTATAATCCTTGGACATGGTAGACAGCCCCAAGCATGCAGAAACGCCCAACAAACAATGCCACAGACGTTGCACCCTGCCGAGGCCATAAGCTCAACACGTATCTTCTTTCCAGAAATAGCGCATCCTATAGACGGCGGCAGCAACAGTGATCAGCGAGCCAAAGAAGCCGTGACCAGCGAGCCATAGTAGACTCCAGCCTCAAAAGCAGCCCACGATGAGGGTGACCCTGGACACCACCTCGGCATATTGGATGAATATGAAGGGCATAGCTCCAGTGAATACAAGAACAGCGGATGCACCAAAGAGGAGCACAAAGATGACCCTGGCAAAGGGAAGCCACATATGAAGGATTGTTCTGACAGATATACGAGCCTACACTTTTGATTGTTACATGTTACAATCACCTTGTAAAATTGTTGGGTATATCCCAAGCCTTGACCCATGGGCCATGGCATTGTGTCATTTTGGTAGGGGCACTTCTTACTTTCTTGGCCTGAAATGAGTTGGGCCCAGCCCAAGCGCCCAACTAGTCCAATTTCTAGTGTTAATTCGATGGTCGGTTCGAGACAAAAGCTTAAGCTATGAGTACGTTCAAAAAATTGGAATAATATATGTTGAGATTGACAAAGTCATCACAGGCTCTCGCTGACGATGGATATGTTGCCTACCACTGAAATAATAGTTAGCTATAAATACGAGTACATTTATCAAGTCTAAAACTTAAATCCGGATAAACTAGTTTCACCTTAAGAAACATAATCAATTGAGCTACATTCACTTCATTATGGCTATCTTTAGGTGCTAGAATTGCGAATGACAAGATCATGCATTTTAAATTGCAAGAATGAGCACTCCTTTAAATCAACATGACCTCCGGAATTTCTCCGACTTCTTCTACTTCACTCTCTCCCTATTCTAAGTATACTATAAAACATATAAAGAACCTAAAATATACTTAGAGCCTCTTATAATTCAGCTCTATATGTAGGTGTGTGTTGTGAATGAGCGAGAGTGGGGTATTTATAGGTGGAGAGATGCCTTGGGATTGTGAAGATGCTAAGCATCTAAATAGCATCTTCACTCTACTCTTGCCATGTGTCCAGCTGATGACAGTTGTTTAGGTAAAATCGGTAGAAACCGTCATAACAAGTCGGTAATTGCCGGCATGTAAAATTTGGGGCCGAACGGCGAAGCTACGGGTTCGGCCAAACCCTTGCTGGCATGTTTTGCTCCGAATTTTCTCGTGGGCTCTGGTGGAGAACCCCTCAGCCCAAATGTACTTGCAATTGGCCCATTTGAATGTGTTTCATTAGGTTTGTGGATCCAAAACTCCATAGGCTTCAATATGGAAGTTTAATTCACCTCCTCCTCTATGTATATTTTGTCTCAACTTTGGTTGTTTGCCACCTGCATCCAAATATACACCAATGCTCGTGAAAGTGGTTAGAAATAAACCCTACCACTACATTGGATGTTTTATATTTATGGTTTTATGCATGTATTGATGGTGTTAATTTGGTAGTTAACAGCCATCAACAGTAGCACGATTAACAAGGAGCCTAAATATAATCATTGATATTTTCTTTACCAATACAACAAGGAGTGTTGGAGGCAAGTGTGGACGTTTTAGGTTTGACTACGGTATTTGCATGGTATGAGGATCGTCGATATCAGGGTATATGCAAGATTGAGGTAAAAGAGATGGAGACAATGATTTTATACAGGTTCGAGCCCCTTATCTGATAGGTAATAACCCTACTCCTGTTGGCCGAAGCCGGTGGTACTCTTAATTATCTGAATCACACAAGTACAATATTTGAGATAACCTATCTAGCTATCTCGACTTAGCGGCATGGATAACCAACACGTAGTCGATGACATGGTAGTCTTCCTCCTCGAGTATGAGTTCATCGAGATCAAAGATGACACTAGATCCCTCTTGTCGGCCTCCACAGGCACCATACGGGGTCTGTCTAGGCTTATCCTTAATGTTGATGTCTGGCGGCATGTGTTGGCTTGTGTATTGTGTGTCTATCTATTGTTGTGTCATCTCTTTCCCTTAGGGGGTCTTGTATTTATACCTATAGAAGTCCCCTTGTCTAAGTAGAATTAGGGAGACCAATATGGATATAATCCAAGTAGTCCTTGTTGTTTCCATATAGAACTCTACTTGTCCTTCCTTATCCGAAACTCATTCTATATACGAGGTATGATTCCGTATAAGACTTGGTATATAGTTGTTGACGAAAAAATCGAATACACCGGCCTGGGAGATCTGCTTAGCTCCAGTGCAGGTCCAAAGGTTGATGAGATGCGGGCGTGCCAGTTAGTTTGATCCTGCAACTGACAAGATATGCAAATAGTAGATCAAAACAGCCGATCAGCTGACAAGCCGATGGAGTAGTTCCAGCCGATAGCCGATAATAGCCGATGCCGATACCAGCCGATAGCGATAGGGTTTAAGCAATCGGCTATATGTCCAATGTAGATAATGATATAGAGGCAATCGACTGATGATGATATAATAAAATAACAATATAATCCAATATAAACCAACCGGCTAGCAATGATATGATAAATAAGCATCGATCCGAAGGTTAAAGCACACATCGGCTGGAGGTCCGATGCCATGAAATCCACAAGATTAGATTAAACAGTGAAACCTTTGTTGTCATCGGCTAAATCCAACTTATATGTATATGCAACCCTTATGAGCCGATGCAACGTCCAGATAACTCACCGGCTGAAACCCCGATGAAACCCTTATTGGCAATCAAGAAGCAGGCTAGAGATTATGGTTCTAAGCACGACTTAGTAGATCAAACTTAACTGATGCAGCACTAAGTATGAAAAGAAACATAATATCTAGACAATCAAGCCGTTGACTGAGTTTTCAGGGTGGTAGATGTCTAAGCTAATCTAATCTAGCAATGCAATTTAGCCGATACCGGCAGAAACCCTAAAACAAGAAGCAGCCGATAGAGCTAAATCGATATGCTAAGACTAGATTAACATAGACATATGATAAATAGGTAGGCAAATATATCATCCAAACCAGAGCAATCCAAGAGGTCGAATGTACTGATGCAGCCTTGAACGACGCCGACGTAAACGATACAATTGCCTGGGCCGGTGGAACATTGGACTTGCCCCTTAGCCAGAGATCGAACACCGATGCAGCCCCACGTCAGGTGCCAAGTCCCGCTGGACGATAAAATAAAGTAGAAAAGGTAAAAGGTGGCGATGCGCCGAATTGTATTGATCGTGAAGATATATTACATAGACCCCGGGTGTACACATTTATAACCCCCCGGGTGTACACATTTATACCCATGGGTTGATACAAGTCCTTGTCGGACAAGAAAGAAACTTTCCTAAATATAAAAGGAAAAGATAAAGTCCTTATAGGACACTAAACACACTTTACTAAAGATAAAAAGAAACTAACAAACTATTCATAGATAACTTGCCATGCCGCATTCTCTTTGAACTCGGGCTCTTCTGGATAAGTTTCCTTTAGTAGATCAATTTCCTTAACCGAGTATAGCAAGAATCCGACAACTGACGACTTGATAACTCTCATCGGCTAATCTCAGGACTTCGAAGCCGATGCTGACTCTAAGCCGATGACTACTCCGGGCTTATCAAATTTCACTGTTAACAATAGTGGGCTCCGCCGAGTTTAGTTGATTACTATTGGGTATGTGGCATCCATAACCCTGACAGCAAGTATGTAGCTGATCCATCCAACTGGACAAACCTGACCAGCCTTGAAAGGGAAAAGTAGTAATTAAATACCACTAATAAAAGAAACTTCAATTGGCTTTGACTATGCTAAAGTCAACAGATATATAATGAATATATGATTGAATCTCGGCTGATTGTCAACTATACTAGACATGAAGAGACTACACTGTGAAAAGAACGCACAAGAAACAAAACACAAACGAATTGTAACTCTAACTCTCCAAGAACAAAATCTCGATTTGAGCCACACACGTATTTCACATATACTAGTTCGGTTCTTAATTATTGATAAAAAGCATGTGATAGAAAGATTTTATTTGCGAATTTATAACGTTTAGGTATATATCATGAGTATAGTGGATGCTTTGGGATTGTACAACAAGTGTATTGAGATAGCTAAAATGGTATCCTCCTATACTTGCCGAGTTTTTATACGAATGCATAGTTTTATAATTTTTTTTCTTAAGATGATATGTGCTATAGTTTTCATCTCTTAGATAAATTAATTACATAGCTAATTTTACAAAACTAAACAAAACTGAACGGTAACCATCGACCATTATTTTATACCCATGTCTATGAGTTAAAGAACTCTTACCACGAATCATCACCATAGCAATAAAACTCATTCCTACATCAATAGTAGTAGCTACCAGAGTTCTCCTTACCGTTTTTAGCGTGGTTACCGCACCCCCACAGTAAGACGGTTACCGTGGTAACCACGCGGTTACCGCGAAAACCGCGAGACATACCGTGGTTTAAAAACTAAAAAGGTTACTGCAAGTGGTAACCGTGTGGTTTTGTAAATCTTGGTAGCTACATATTCCAGTTTAGAAAAACAATAATGAAATAAACAGACAGTTCTTTTTTTTTAAAAAAATAGATAAATTTCGATGATGCACTACTCCAAAAGGAAAGACACTTTACCATTTTTATTATAACAAATCAATGTCGCAAATATCACGTATCAAAACACACAAATAATTAACAACAACAATTAGACTCTAAAAATAGTTGGATTATTATATCCTTATTATTCTCTAAATTCATCAACGAACCAAGCCAATCTTCCAACCGGGCAAACAAAAATAAGCAGAGAAAACCCTCATCCAGCGTTGACAACCCAACAGTCAAAGGATAACCCAGCGAATATCCCATCCATCCAACCCGTCCATCCGGGCCCACCACAACGCGTCATCAATCAACCCATCCATCCCCCGCAATAATTTCTCTCGCTTCCGCCGGTCGCCGCCTCCCTCCGCCGCTTTCTTCCCCTTTAAAACCCTCCCAAAATTCAAACGCGACCAAGCCGCCGGCGAGGTGAACGAAACCCAACCATGGCAGGCGGCGGAGGTGGCGAGGGGAAGGTGGCGTGCGCGGCGTGGATCCGGCGCCGGGAGGAGAAGGAGAAGGCGACGCGCGTCTTCGCGGCGTACGGGCGGGCGGGGTCGCCGCCGGCCGTGGAGGTGCTCGGGTTCGACTCCAAGGAGTGCTCCCTCTCCGAACCCCTGGTACGTACGGGAGCTCCCCCCTCTCCTCCTCCTCCTCCTCCTCCTCCTCCGAGCTCCCAAGGAATTCGAGGTTTGGTTCGCCGGCTTGACTTCCGGGGTCGTGGTTGTGTGGTTTGTTTGTTTGTGCTGCAGGCGAGGGCGGAGCTCGGGGAGGAGCCGGGCGACGCGCCGCGTGGCATCACGGTGCACCCCAGCGGCGACGAGCTCGTCTGCGCCACGGCCAAGGGGTGCAGGTGCGTGCCTCCACTGCTTCTCTTCTCGTTGACTGTTCTATCATTTGCGGGAATTTCTCAGGCGGGGAGGGGAGGGGTGATATGATTAGTTAGGAGTTCGGTGTTCTACCGGTAGATTATTGAGCTAATGCCTGTGTAGTGTCGGAGATTTCGGATTATTAGTTCGATTCAGCTGATTTGAGGGTGGTAATTTGGTTAATTGTGATGCGGGAGCTGGTTTGGTTGCTGCTGGCTGCCTGGCTGGATTAGGTGATTTAGAAAGCAGTGTGAATCCGTCTGTTTAGACTTCAGATTGTAGAGGTCTGTGTTATCAATGTGGCTAATTATGTTTAGATTGTAGTGCGGAATTGACTTTCTGTGTTCATTTGATCATTTGCTGTTCCAGTAACGTTCAATTAGGCTTTACACTTCAGGTTTTCTATAGAAGGGTTGGCTTGGATGTTGCAACCTAAAATAAAAAGGGCCACCGAAGTTGATCTTTAGTAGGGTTAACTACCTCAATGAAATGATCATTAGAATAGCACACATGTTGACTTGTTAATCAAATTATAAATGCACAGTATATATATATAATTCCATGCCATTTTGTACTTTTTAGTTCTGATTGTGTTATCATTTTATCAAAGCCTTCTGTTTGCACTGTTACAACCTGCTTTCTCTTTTTTCTGTTCTCTTTCACTAAGACTAGAACTTTATAATTAAACCACATGTTTGAACTGAAGGCTATTCAAGCTGATTTTTGAAGAGTTCACTGTTCGACTTATTTCAAGAGACGCTCCACCACTTGAATCCGTTGGACCGCAGAAGTGTCTTGCTTTTAGCACTGATGGATCTAAATTTGCCATTGGTGGTGAGGTATCGGATTGCTATATGTTGATATTGGAGTTTTACTGATCAGTTCTCTCTCTCTCTCTCTCTCTCTCTCTCTATTTTCTAGTTTGCTTCTATTTGGTGATTATGTGTTTCCATATGCTGCATTTATACATCGTTAAGAAGTACTATATGTGTATTATAGAAGCCATGTGATTTTAGGCACAATATCCACTGTTGTACCATTCTGTCAGATTATTCCATCCAGAATTCCAGATGGTTCAGTTTTTTATGGTCTGGTGTTATTGCCCAGTGTATTTAGTTTGATAATAATGCTGCTCTCTAGCTGAACTTGTACAAAGTATCTTTCTATGGTTCTTACAATGCTTTATTTTATTTTTACCACTATAGGATGGGCATCTCAGAATATTTCATTGGCCGAGCATGAATGTGCTCTTAGATGAACCCAAGGCTCATAAGTCCTTCCGGGACATGGATATCAGGTTAGGGCAAGTGCAAGCATAATTATTTTCCTTTATTATTTGCAAAAGAATCCCAGGATATTCTCATCTGTTGAACAAGTGTTGTTGTAAATGGCGCAATCATGTAGCCGTTATCTTGAGAGAGTAACCAAGAACTTTGATAACGTAGCAGTAGTGTTGGTCCAAACCTTAATGAAGCATTTTGGTCTTGGAAGACTCTTTTTTAGACCGAAGCGATTCTTTGAACCTTTGGTTTTCGTCCCTGTGCTTTATTGTGAATTGACTTTTGCAATACTGCTGCTTTTCCTCTTGTAGCTTAGATTCAGAATTTTTAGTTTCCACATCCACTGATGGTTCTGCAAGAATATGGAAGATAGATGAGGGGGTACCATTGGTCAATTTGACTCGATCTGCGGTATGATGCGATAAATTTGTGCAAGTCATGTTCTCTTGTTGAGATACTGAAAGCCTTAACCATTTGGTGTTCTGGTTTTCTATGCAGGATGAGAAGATTGAATGTTGCCGCTTTTCTAGGGATGGCATGAAACCATTCCTGTTTTGCACCGTTGCAAAAGGTATACTTTCTATTGTGGTCCAGAAATAGATTTATGCATATCAGATGATTTTTCTATATATGTGCTTTGTCATTGGAACAGGTAACAAAGTTGTAACTGTTGTCTGGAACATAAGTGACTGGAGTCGAATTGGATACAAGAGACTTCTGGGAAAACCTATCTCCACACTTTCAGTTAGCATGGATGGGAAGTATCTGGCTTTGTAAGTACATATAAATACTGTTGATCTTATCATACTGAACAAGTATATAACTCCATTGCATTTCTAGGAACATTTACAATGCCAAATTTCAAGACTAACATAAGCTACTTTCTCCTAGTAACTTCACTATTTTGTCCTTTTTGAAGAGCTCAAAAACTTGCTTGCATTTTTTTGTTACATTCTCACATTGACATGTAATATATCAACAACTTGAAACAACTGTCACATAAATAATAACAAAGAATTACTCTAGTTGACAAGGATGTTGCGTAGCTCTGAAAAAAATGGACGAAAAACATTAACATTATAAATTGTAATAGTGACAGTATCAGCTGGAGTAATGTTTTTTTCCTAATAAATATGCAGTGCCCCAATACTAGCTAACATATTCTAAACTGAATTGCTTTTGATGTATTTAGTGCACCGACATGTGAATGAATTCTGTATTTCTTCTTTCAGGGGGAGCCATGATGGTGATTTCTGTGCTGTGGATGTAAAGAAGATGGATGTTTCTCACTGGAGCAAGAAGGTCCATCTTGGTTCTCCGGTTTCCTCAATTGAATTTTGTCCTACTGAAAGGTACTGGAACTCTGTAAAGATGGCATGTTTATCACATCTTGAATCTTATGGATTTCTAGTTTGTTGTACACTGCTGTTGTACTGATTTCTAGTAAGGTAGTAGCTTAGTGTTCACTGGCATGTAGGCGCCATAATGTCAGACTCATGGTTGTTAAGGCGTCGCTATGGCGTCGCTATAGCACTAGGGCGTGCCGAGGGGTTAAGGCGTCCCTCCGCCTTAAGGGCTTAACGCCATAACCCAGAGAGAGAGAAAGAGAGAGGTGAAGGCAGCAGCAACTACCCCTTTTCACTGTTCTCTGCTCCATGTCATTGCCATCTTACTCCTCAGCTCTGGTTTCCACTCTCTTCCTCTCTCTCCTGTGCCAGATTCATTTTGACTAAGGGAGCAGCGCCAGATCTATCCAAGGGAAGAGAAGCATAGCTGGATTCGTTCTGAATGAGGGGAGAAAGGAGCACATATAGAGGAGCAGAGCTAGCACGAGGAAAAAGATCAGGGGAGAAAGGAGCACATATAGAAGAGCAGAGCTAGCACGAGGAAGAAGAACTGGCGCGAGGAAGAAGCGATGCACAGGCGTGAGGAAGAAGCGACATCGGAGGCGGCGCTGTGAGAGGAGAGACGCACCTGGTGTGGGTATTAGGGTTGTTTCCTTGACCATGGGCTGGTATGAAGGTTATTGGGCTTTTGTGGGCTGGCCTGCTAGGCTAATTTTCTCTCTCCCTCTTCTGATCGCTGCTAATCACGTAGATTAAGGCGTCGCCACGCCTTAGCGCATTACCGCTATAGCGTAAGGCGTGGGTGGGTCGCCTCAGGTCGCCTTACCGCCTTAACAACCATGGTCAGACTATCAAATGCCATGCTTATAAGTTATAAATCAATGCTTCATAGATTGTAATTGTCTGTGTATGCCTGCAGGCTGCACTGCATAATGTCTTAAGTGGGATGTGAGTCTGAATGTTCATCTTTTACTAAATTTGCTTTAGTTTAGCCTGGAAAAGATTGCAAGATAACATCTTCCTCCTGCTGGGTTTGGTAGGGATGGCCCTTATGCATTTCATTTATTCATGCAAGAAATGTTTCTCTTAAAACTAAATGACCTGTCCTTCTCCAATTTCCGGAGCATCTCTTTGTTTATGTTATAACATGATGCCTGCTGATACCGCAGGGCCGTAATCTCCACATCGCATCAATGGGGAGCAGAGCTGACAAAGCTGAATGTCCCTGCTGACTGGAAAGGTACATGTCTCATAAAATGCTTCTTGGCTCTCCTGTGGTATAATTTACCATACTAACGAAATCTTTTTGTGTTATTCTTCTGCAGAATGGCAAGTCTGGCTCATACTCTTATCTCTTTTCCTAGTGTCAGCCATCCTGTTCTATATGTTCTACGAGCGCTCCGATTCCTTCTGGAACTTTCCAATGGGGCAGCATCAGCCAGCCAAGCCATGGAGTGTCATGAAGGAGTCTCCTCCAGTTCCTGAGGACCAGAACCCCTGGTGAATTATCTTTCAAGCAATCAAGCATTTGGGTGTTGTTTTATTTCATAATGAAAGGGTTTTTTCCAAGCCTAATTCATGTTGTACCATTTTACTTGTTCGCCGATCTGACCACGTCAGTATTTATCTAGGTAAATCAGTAAAATGCCACTGTAATTGGTGGTCTGATGGTAGTTATGAAAATGCCATCGACTTCCAATGAGACTTTCAGTGGCATTTTTAAGTCTATTGTACCTTGCAGTGGGATTTATCCACGTGCTTATTTACCCCCTTCTCTTTGGTAGTCAATAACTGAATTTATCAGTGTGTTCTACTTCTGTATATGTGGGTTGGGATGTGAGTACAAGTACATGTGAACTCAGCTTTAATTAAGCCGCTGGCAGTTGTTAATTGCAGGATGTTTTTTTAGTTCTGATTTTGTTTCGAGTAAAATGTATAGCGGTCCGGCTTGAATTTATGCACGGGTACCTCTAGAGAGAGAACACACTATTAGAGGTTAGGGATGGCAATTTCCCCCGTGCGGGGACCCGCCCCGTACTACGGGGGCGGGTACAGTTTCTGACCCACGGGTGAGGCGGGGCCGGGGCCCCGTATTTTTGCGGTTAGAGGCCGGGGGGAAAAGTTCACCCGCGGGTGACCCAACAAAATACTGAGGGATAAAAACAAACCTTAGCCTCTAGCTCCCCATCTCATCTCGGCATCTCCCCTCCAGCCGCTCCACCGCTCCAGTCTGCATCGGCAGAGGCGGCGCCAGGGCGCACGCCGCACAGTGAACTTCTGGATCTTGCCGTCGCCGATCGCCCTCTGCCCCTCTCCCCTCCTCTCCCCTCCATCTCTCCGGCTGTCCCTCTGGCTCTCCTTTCTGGCTGCGCGGTCGAGCGGCAAGGGCGGCGGCGGCCGGTGAGGGTGCGGCGCACAAGCGCGGCGTCCGGCTGCCTGTGGCGAGTCGCGAGCGCGACTGCGCGAGGGGACAAGTGTGGGGCCGGCGAGGGGACAACCTCACAACCGGACAGGAGACTTTTGCTTGCTTGGATGTGATGTGTTGAACCTTGAAGGCTTGATTGCTTGAACTCATGTGTGTGTGTCGTGTGTTTGCTTGGCTGGCAGCAACAGCATAGCATAGCCATGTGAATAGTTCAATATGTGTTTTTGCTGAACTTTTTATGATGCTATTCAAGTATTCATGTTATTTTTGATGGTGTGTCTATTATGTACCATATTTTTCATTTGCTAAATTGACGATTGTCTTATACATTTTGTGCTCATTTGATGGAGTTGCTACTCACTGCGGGCCCCGATCGGATTGCGGGGCCCCGCAGGGGCTGGGGCCGGGGGCTGGTTTACACCCGCATGTCCACTCGGGGCCGGGGCCGGGTGGAGAGTTCGGGGGTCGGGGTCGGGGCCGTTCCAGCCTAACCCGCCCCCGCCCCGTCCCGTTGCCATCCCTAGAGGTCTATATAAACATTGACAATACATTTTTAGAACACTTGAACTTATTAACCACTAGAGGTCTAAAATCTGATGTGGCACACCAACATCAACATGGATGCTGATGTGGCTTGATCATTACTACTGACATGTGGGCCCCACTTATCTATCTCTCTTTCCCCTCTTTTTCCTCATGGAGGACAGAATAATAATTCCGTATCGAGGACAAAATAAAGGTTATGACATGCCTCAACTGCAAATCTGAACGCGTGGTCGTTTGGTTGGACCCATGATGAGGAATCTCCACACAACAGACAACCGAACCTCTCTCACCCCTCATATAACGCAAGGGGGGATTTGTGTGCCAGGATGTGAAATATCACATGCATAATCATGTTTAAGATTGTCTGCCACAAGAGGGGGTCAACATATTTCACTTCTAAGTTAAGTTTTTCCCTTGTCAATTCTTGGATCACTCCTCTCCAGAAAGAACCAAAGGAAATGTTTATATGTACAGTGCAATTCTGAAATACTAAGTATCAATCAATTTTAGACTCGAGAAGTTCTTGATGAGTTAGGACACATTGTACTGTTCCTTTCCATCATGGAACTGCCACTCCATTTTGTCTCTTCTTTGGAAGGTTTGAGTGAAGAACTAAGACATGTATTGTGGTGGAAGGTTCAAATGTTCAATCAAGGAGGAGAGTAGCTCTTCCTTCTTTCTTCTTTTAGTACAAATCTCGAGACGATCCGATGGTGCAGCATATTCTTGCTTCTTGAATAGTAGTAGTTAAGTTGCCAAGTGGCTGTCATCTTTGTACTTGTCTGTATCTTCCACTGAAGATCAAAGTGCGTTATATCTTTTGTTTGTCTTGTCCAGGTAATGTCCATGGCATGCCATGAAATGGATGCTGTCTCTAGAAGCTAGAACAGAAGATCATGCGTGGCTTTACTGTACAAAAAGTTCTGATGATTGCAGCATCTCTTCCATGCCTGAGTGCCGTGAGATTCGTGTTGTTCTTGTTGGACTGTTGCTTGTACGTGTAATTTTCTCTCTGGTCGGTTGATTGGAGATTTTTTTTTTCTGGTCAGGATAGGCCGGAGAGATGCTCATGTCAGGCAGCATCACTTACAAGCATAGAACTCACCTACAGATTTATACCAATACAATTCATGGATGAGGTTGACTGGAAACTGGTTGTCGCATGACTTGCAGTAATATTTAAGGGCATGTTCAGATCGATATTATTTTAAACCATACCATTTTTTAGTTGTTAAATATATGTATCTATTTATTTATTTTTACCAAACTTTGGTAAATATATAAGAAATTATGTCAAAATTTTGGTAATATTACTAAAGTACTAAAATCTGATAAGGTTTATTTTGGTTATAATCTGAACAACCCTAAATGCCCTTTACTTGCATCTGCAGGTGAGTTCTTGCAAAGGTTGGTTTGTATTTGGGTGGATTTTCAAAAGGCACTCTATTATGCTAATTTTGCGCAAACAGATCAAATAGGAATCCGTATATGGAAGTGAAACAGAATATTCTATTAAACTTGGAAGCTACTTTTATCTAACTGTATTGTCGTAAAATAACAAATCGTGGTTATTGCACCTGCATACTTTCTTTTTTTCATGTAAGATCGGTGGGTTGCATACTTGTAGTATGCACTTCTTCCATCCCAAAGTAAACCAATTTTTATACACAAATATGAACATGTAAAAATTAATTTATTTTAGGACGGAAGGAATACTAGGCATCATCCTCTGATACGAACAATATGAAAATAGAGAAAAGGGAATACTATCAGACTTAGACATGAAAAGTTTTTATGATTAGTGGCAGTCACCTTCTTAGTCTGAATCAAGCTAGTACACACGTAACCTGGGGAATTTCAGATTTGGCCGTCATATCTAGTGTTCAAACATTTTAGTGGTCAATGAAAGTACAGTTATCTTATCTTGCAAGCATTCTAGAACCTTTATGTTGTGTCCAGCTTAAGGATTTGTTGGATAAGAGCAGCTAATACTGAACTATTGGGAACCTGGGATATGCACTGTCCAACCTTAGTTTTATCTTTAATAGTATACTTATTTTTTAAAACAAATAATTATATATTTACATGAGCCAACAAACGGGACCTTCTGGTTCTGGTCAAGTTAACCTCCTTGACTAAGAAATGGCTGTACTAAGCATAGGCTGCAGAGAAAATCGAACAAATCAGAATTTTTCTTCTTGGCAAATTTGTTTTTATGAGAATCTAAGATACCCTTTGTGTCAAACATGCACAATAGCTTTAATTTATTTTGAGACTGAATACACGACTCAAAGACCCTAAAGAAACCACTCAGATTAGACAAGATGATAAGGTCTATTGATACAATTTGTTTTTGACACTTACACATACGGCTTGGACTTGCTATGGATGAGTGGATATTCTTTTTTCATGCAAATGATTGTGTACATGTACATTTTTCTTTTGGAAAATTCAGATAATTCATAGTTGAAAAGATCTCTTGCAGCATTGTCAATTAGACATGTTGCGTTCTCTCTATCACACGAACAAATCAAGAAGATCATTACGTATTTGAGTAAAAAACAAACGGTGAAGACGATGACGAGGATGACAAGGACTCGTCGGTATTTAGCATAAGCGTCTTATTATGGCTGTGTTTAGTTCGGCCCAAAGTTTGAAATTTGGTTGAAATTGGAGACGATGTGACTGAAAAGTTATGTGTGTATGAAAGGTTTGATGTGATGAAAAGTTGGAAGTTTGGGAAAAAAAAAACTTTGGAACTAAACAGGGCCTATATGTATTCTTCAGGCAAACAATATTTGAGGTTGCCGTGACTTAGCAAATATTGAATTTGGATGCTCTGCTAGCACTTCAAATGGTAAAAGTATGCCGTTTGCTCCACCTGTGCAGTGTAGTACTAGTATTTAGCTAAGAATTTAAGACACTAGCTAGACAGTTGAGGTGAAGATGGAAAAACTCTTTATAGCTCTCAAGGATATTAGCAACCTTCAACTTAGGCCCCCTTTGTAGCATGGGAATTTTTTTTACCGATTCCTATAGTTTGATTCCTATGAAATTTCTACAAATTTATGTGGAAATCCTATATTCTAAAGCATGCCTTATTCTCTGTCAGGTAGAAATTCAACCAAATGGCATGGCAGAGTCAACAGATGGATGAGTAGTACAAACTACAAAGTGACGTTTTGGATATGACAATGATTTTCTAAAACATATATTTGACTACGATTTTCTGTTATAATATATACAAAAAAATAAGTAACTATTTGATTTTATCAAAATATATTTTAAAAGACTAATCTATACATCGGGTTGTAATATTTTTAAACTGAATATTTTAAATAAAGCTCTAATTGTTTAACCAAACCTTATTTAAAACATCAAAATTATGGAACCGGAGGGAGTACTAACATACGTTGCTCCATTTGGCCTCACCCAATTAGTCATTCTTAGATTGGACTATATCAATTTTTCAGATGATATATTCTGTTCCTCTGCAAAAGTTTCCAAGTGAAAATTCGGCATATTAATTGTCATAATTGTTATTTAAAAAAAATCACAAATATCCTCTGTATCTCCTTATTCACAATCATAAATCACAAATATGACGAACTACTGATGCATAGCACTACGTCAATGTCAGGCTCACACTCACCAATTTTACTGAAAATTAATTAATTTAATAAAAAGGATACAATGTGGAAATGCAGCAGAGACAGGCATGACAATTCCTGAACTCTTAAGTCAGCAAAGGCTACTCCTGTACCAGTAAAAGCTTTGTTTGGTGGCAGTCCAACCAGTTTAAGAGAAGAATAAGACAAAAAGATCAGCAATAATTTTATAACTAGGATAACAGAGACCTGGAGACCATATAGTCTTAAAGCCAGATGCTGCAATAATACTGCAAAGACGCTTATGATTCAAGTCATGCAGAGTAGTCATTAGTCAATACTCTAACTACCACAGCATCATCCAGGAAAATGGTAGTACTTCCTCCGTAGAGGTTGGCACGGATATTAAGAAATTAGGTGAGAATGATTGAAGAAGGTGTGTGATTGGTTGAAAAGAGAAAGTAGGTGAAAAAGAATGGTTGTGATTGGTTGAGAGGAGAATATAGGTAGAAAAATAGCTTCATTTTGGGATAAAATATTGTGCTAGAAATAGCTACATTTTGGGATGGAGGTAGTACTTAGTAAAGAAATGCAAATCCCAAAAAGATCTTTGACAATTTGTTCTATTATGAGATTGTGCAAGCTGATGTCACATAGTGCTGAATGAATTTTGCTAAGTTTTCACATGTAGGTTAATCACATGGTTATAATGTATCCTCCAAATCTACAGTTGAAATGCTGAGTGATAAGCTGTTTGGACTATGGTTGATAAGCCGTGAAAAATAAACCAAGCAACAAAGATAATTTATAAGTAAAACTTAAACTTGTTTATATGCACTATTGGCGGTTTAAAAATTTAAGGTTAGAAAATAGACTACAATGAAAAAAACTTAAAATCAACTCATAATTTAAGTTTTAAAATTTATATTTTAATTATGGCTAATAAACTAACAAGCAAATGATAAGAAACGACTCGTTTTTAACTTGCTGCGAAGAAAAGTAAAACCTAGGAATTCGTTAGTTTGCTAGGTATCTACTGCGGTTAATTATGTGGGGATTTAAACCCATGATCTCACTTTTAGTAGATGAAGTAAACATTACATCATAACCTGATAAGGTCTATGCATGTATGACGCACACATCAACTACATCAGTGTACATGGAAACAAATTCTCTAATTAAATTGGAAATCAAACAGGATGAACCCACCTGAATGCAACACATCAATAAAGATCTAAAAGAAAAAGAAATGTAATAAATCACAAGATGGCCAGTCGATTAATTAGATAATGGTCCTGAAATCTCTATCTACAGAATAAAAAGGACCAATTAACCACCTGTAGAGTGTAGACACTGCCGTCTTGATCTGTAGCTAGTCCGGAATAGTTAGGTAGCTTATTAATTAACCCTTCCTACTGGACACCTAATCATCCCTATCATGCTGCCCTCGTTTGGACTGGAATTGACTATGACCCATACGCCCTCAAATCACTCGCTAACCTTGGCAATTACCACATGACAAAATCACATCAAAGCCAAGTGACCGACGGCTCATCCAAGTAAACGTGAATATCAGGATAGGACCTAATATCAACTAATTAGAAGAGGTGAGGCTTTAAACCCAAATCATCCAGCCCATCACCTTATGAAGCTAGTTGGAAGATCCCTTAACATTTCTTGGTGGCTCATCCAAGTAACCGGGCGAGACCCAACGTTTCTCGACGGCTCATCCAAGTAACCGGATCCTGTTTGAGAAGCTTATATCTTACGGCTATAGTTTCTTTTAAAATCTCCAAGACTCCAACTCTCTAAACAGTTTATATTTTTAAAGAAACTACGTAGCTGTCTAATAAATAAAAAAATAAACCGGAGGAAAAACTGACATAACACAATTTTCTAAAGATTTTCATTGGTTAGCCTATTTATCAGGATCACAAGTTCCCCAAATATAAACAGGTAACCTGGTGTTTCTATTCTAACAAAAGTATATAGTTATATATACTACCTGTCCTAAAATATTGTTGATGAGACATCACCTAGTATTAATTACGAATCTGAACAGAGAATACTCAAATCTAGATACTAAGTTATGTCTCATTCTATACATAACAACATTTTGGAACAGATCTACTAATTAATAAAAGGAAGAGTAAAAACTCACAAACACAATTTTCTTTTAAGATTTTCACTGATTAAAACTACTCTTCAGTCTCCAGATATAACCAAAGACGACCGGGTATCCCGGTTCACACACAATGCGTGCGCTTTCCTCCTGCCGACGCCTCCCTACTGTGTCCATACGCCCAAGCAGCTGCTCATCTTTGCACGTCCATATATTAGGGCCCATCATGCTTCATAGGTAGCTTTCTTCCCTAATAATAATAATGAAAACACTGAAAGAGATAGGAGAGAATAACTAGCTAATTTATGTTGACAATTTATGTCGCTCTTGTGAGAGTGGCATGTGATGTTTTGGATCCATGTGTCAGTGAGACATATATTGGTGAAAACGTACAGCTAAGTATGTGAAAAGTGTACTGTTTTACTACCTCGATTACAAATATCCGCTTAAAAGGACGTCGTATTTTCAAAGTATCACTCATGTTTTTTTTATTTAATTAAAAATTTATAACTGCTTAGAAGGGCGTCGTGTTTTTGAAGTGTGTTGTATCTTAAACATAAGCACGGAACTTCCATTTAGCTATTTAACCATTTTAAACAAATTTCCTACCTTTCCAAAAAAAGTATTTTTTCCTAAGAATGCATAGTACAAACGCAGATGCTTACAACGGGCGCACTCATTTATGAACGCACATACGTACATGCATCCTATTAGGCTATTCCTATGAGTACTTTTCAAAAAACTAGTCCAACATATCTTAATATTGACGACATTATTGTATACGTCTTGCTACTGAAATAATAATTAGCCATAAATACAAGCACCCGATAAGAACTTGAACCCAAGTAGGCTCAGTTAGGGATGAAATAGAGTGGATACGGACGAATAATGCTCATACCATATTCGTTTTCATTTTTTTTTGCCAGATACAAAAACAAATACATACGAATAGCTCTGATACGGAAACAAATACGAATTATCTTGAATATGAATAAGGACTGACTATGATCGGACACGAATACGGAAATATTTTTTTCTTGGAACACGAAAACCACCTCAACCTCTAATAGAAACAAATATCTCCATATATAATTAGCTCGTTTTATATAAAATATAGTATAATTTATAAAAATATTTAAAAATTAAAATAATATTAATAGTGTGAACTAGTGTTAAGAGACTACTACCATTAAAGGTCATAGAGTTATAAACAAATTGGGTATGTTTTATGACTTAGGCGGATATCCGTTAGAAACCCTGATACCATATTCATATTCGTATCCAAGAGAAAATATCCGTATTCGTATCCAAGAGAAAATATCCGTATTCGTATCCATATCCTAATTATATGATAATTATCCACTCCGAAAGGTAATCCGTATTCTTTTTCATCCCTAGACTCAGTTGACATCCACTTCACTTTAACCATTTAAAAGTTATTAATGGTCCAAGTGAAAACAGTAAGAGTCAGTAGTGATAAGGTAAATGAAGACGGATTTAATAATATAACTTCCTATAGGTTTAATTTGACGAGTAAATTAAAGAACCGTGATGGCACCGGCACCACTCCCTCGCCATCATCTTGTGTTACGCCACTATATGGTCAAGCTTGTGCGTCATTGATCAATCATGGGGACAAGGGTGTGATGACCATTACACAAGAAACAACAAGAGGTGGGGGGTCCATTGACGTACGACAATGTTGCCATGTTGTGTGATCTCGGAGATGGATTTTTATTTCTCGCGAGTATATTCACCTAAATAGATTTTTTTAAATTTATTTATAGAACACATTAATATGGGATATATCGCTTTACAATGTACATTATTAAATTCGACTTCTACAAGTTATAAAAACTAAATTAAACTGAAACTAATTAATATTATAACCTATAGAAGTCGAATTTGAATATGCATATTTGTGGAGTGATATATCTCATATTCATCTATCTTGTTAATTTCTTTAAAAATATTGATATCTATTTAGGTGACATATAAGAGATGAGCGACGCCTGTTTGAGGGATGAAAACACTTTTATGTGTGATCTCCATTGTGTTATTTATTTCTTTCCCGGAGAAATAGAGGTACATAAAGATGGAAAAACATGAGCCTAATATGTAGCCTATTTCCTCGGTAAACTTTCTTTTTTTAAAATATCTTTGCGAAAGATACATTACAATTCAGTTAAAAAGAGTTTTGGTAGAACGCGAGCGTAACTTAACTGATTAGGTTTCTTGTGATAAAACAAGCCCACTTGACTCTAAGTCCTAGACTTGACACCAATACTCGCATTTACGGCTAATTATTCTTTATGGCAGATGACATATCTATCGACAATAAGGCACCAATGGTGATTTCGTCAATTTTATGATGCCGGCTCAATTTTCTGGAGATGCTTACATGAATAGGACGTGCGTGTGTGCGTATGTTGTGAGCACCTGTGTTTATATTGTTTTTCTAAAAAAGAAAAAAAGAGAAAAGATTTTTTTTGCCAAAATAAATTCTATATAAAAGTTATTTAAAAATTTTGAATAAATCCATTTTTAAGTTTATAATTATTAATCCTTAATTAATTATATGATAATAATTTTTTATTTTACGTGCGCTAAAAAAATGGATCCAAAAGAGAGGTGATAGAACGACGCAGCCTAGTATGAAAATCACACATGTTAAGTCCATTCCAAGAAAGCAATGTGTATAGAGATGCAGCCTCAAAAAGCCCCCTGACTCTCCACACTCTTTTCACCCTCCTTACTTCTCTATAAATAAATAATAGTACCACCTCGCTAACCAAACACACACCAACCCAACCCGAGCCCCCCAAGCGCAGCCATGGTGTTCGACGCGGGCACCGGCAGCAGTGGCGGCGGCTCGCCGGCGGCGCCCTCCCCGCCGCCGCCGTGGCAGAACCCTCTCCGCGTGATCCTGACGGCGGCGTTCGCGCGGCAGGTGGCGGTGGGGCGGTGGTTCACGGTGTTCGCGAGCCTGCTGATCCTGACGGCGTCGGGCGCGACGTACATCTTCGGCATCTACTCGCCGGCGCTCAAGGCGTCGCTCGGCTACGACCAGCACACGCTCAACACCGTCTCCTTCTTCAAGGACCTCGGCGCCAACCTCGGCGTGCTCTCCGGCCTCATCAACGAGGTCACGCCGCCGTGGGTGGTGCTCGCCATCGGCGCCGCCATGAACCTCTCCGGCTACCTCATGGTCTACCTCGCCGTGGCCGGGCGCACGGCGGCGCCGCCCGTGTGGCTGGTGTGCCTGTACGTGTTCGTCGGCGCCAACTCGCAGTCGTTCGCCAACACCGGCGCGCTCGTCACCTGCGTCAAGAACTTCCCGGAGAGCCGCGGCGTCGTGCTCGGGATACTCAAGGGGTTCGTGGGGCTCAGCGGCGCCGTGTACACGCAGCTGTACCTGGCGTTCTACGGCGACGACGCCAAGTCGCTGATCCTGCTCATCGCGTGGCTGCCGGCGGCGGTGTCGGTGGTGTTCGTCCACACGGTGCGGATCATGCCGTACCCGCGCCGCCGCGGCGGGCAGGAGACCAGCGTCGACCCCTTCTTCTGCTTCCTCTACATCTCCATCGGCCTCGCCGCCTACCTCCTCGTCATGATCGTCGTGCAGCGGCAGTTCGCCTTCTCCCGCACCGCCTACTCCTGCGCCGCCGCCGCGCTCCTCATCGTCCTCTTCCTCCCGCTCTGCGTCGTCATCAAGCAGGAGTTCAAGATCCACCGCGAGCGCCTCGAGCTCGCCGCCGCCGCCCCGCCGCCGCACACCATCACCGTCCTCGAAATGTCGAAAGAGACGGAGCGGTCGCCGCGGCCTTCATCCCCGGCGCCGGCGGAGACGTCGTGGGTGAAGGGCATGTTCCGGCCGCCGGCGAGGGGGGAGGACTACACGATACTGCAGGCGCTGGTGAGCGTGGACATGGCGGTGCTGTTCGTGGCGACGATCTGCGGCGTGGGCGGGACGCTGACGGCCATCGACAACATGGGGCAGATCGGGCAGTCGCTGGGGTACCCGGCGAGGAGCACCAACACCTTCGTCTCCCTCATCAGCATCTGGAACTACGCCGGCCGCGTCGCCGCCGGCTTCGCCTCGGAGGCGTTCGTCGAGCGGTGGCGCCTCCCGCGGCCGCTGGTGCTCACCGGCATCCTCCTCCTCGCCTGCGCCGGCCACCTCCTCATCGCGCTCGGCGTCCCGCGCGCGCTCTACGCCGCCTCCGTCATCATCGGCTTCTGCTTTGGCGCGCAGTGGCCGCTCGTGTTCGCCATCATCTCCGAGGTGTTCGGCCTCAAGTACTACTCCACGCTCTACAACTTCGGCGGCATGGCGAGCCCCGTCGGCTCCTACATCCTCAACGTCCTCGTCGCCGGGAGGCTCTACGACGCGGAGGCGGGCAGGCAGCCCGGCGCCGGCCTCGCCGCCGGCGCCGGCCGCGACAAGGTGTGCCTCGGCGTCGACTGCTTCAAGAAGTCCTTCCTCATCATCACGGCTGCCACCGTGTTCGGCGCGCTCGTCTCGCTCGTGCTGGTCTGGAGGACGTGGAGATTCTACAAGGGGGACATCTACGCGAGGTTCCGCGACGGCGACGGCGCCGTCGCCGGAGAGGGAGGTGACGGCCGGTTGCCGGTGGACCAGCGGCGGCGGCCGCCGCCGCCGGAGGAGGAGGAGGAGTCAACGGCGGTCAACGGAAGGAAGGAGTGAGCCAGTGAGGAGGAGGAGGAGGTGGGAGTAGTTGGTAGGTTGACTTGGTCAATGATGACGTCATCAGCGGTCACTGGTGATGGATTCTATCTACTCTGGCTTTGGCTGCTGACGTGGAATGGAAATTACAGCATTTACAGAAGATCTGGAAAAGCACAGCACGAAAGCGGCTGTAAATTTGGTTTCACCAAAGGAAATGCAAATATAAGTTTCTTACTTATTTGCTTTGGAAATTTTCGGTTTGGCGAAATCGCATCGAATGTAAATATGAGTACTGAGTACATGTATTGTATCCGTAACTTATAAAGAGTGACATAGGTTTGTAATTGGAAATTCCTCTGTTTTAAGAGAGAGAGAGATATGAGTAAAACTTTATTTTTTTCAAACTAAGATCAAGCTTGTAAGTTGTACTACAGTACATGTTCATCGTATTCATATCCCAATTGGCTGATTTGATAAATTCGGATCATTAAATGTCTGCTAGTTAGGTATAAAGAGCTTTCCCATTTATTTCTTCGTTTAGGCAGGTACAAAAGACGGGCAAAGGGCATGCTTTTCTAGTTGGACTTACTAAGCCGTTTGGAGTACTTATTGATTTTAATCAAAAGTAGTATATGAACAGTAATTATTATAATTTTTAAGCGATGTCAAAGCGAATGGATTTGAATGTAGTATATTAGTAAAGTACTTTCTATTACAAGTTAATCTAGAGATGCTAAATAATTTGATTATTTAAAAGATATTACTAGTTAAAATAAAACCGATATTAAAGGCCATCGATACTTTATTAGCTAGAAAACCTCTGCGTCGTCCATTGCATTGAGTGGTCTAGGTGGGGCAAACCCTAGCCATCATCGAGACACCCACCTCCTTCTTTGCCTCGCCTCCACTAGAATAAGCTATTGAAAAAACTGTGCAGCGAGTTAGGACGGCGGTAGCGACAGGGGTCTCCAGTGGTGACCCCTAGATTCGGTGTAGGCATGCCTAGGGGTGTAAGGGCAAGGATGACTGAGGCATTGCCGCAAGGAGCCTCGTTGGCTCATGCTAGGGGATTGTTGCTGCATGGAGTGGCTAGACGGCAAGCAAAAGCTTGGCATAGAGGCTTTCTGATCTGGCAACAGCGATACTTTGAGTGACATGATTCCTCTTGAGGGAGTTGCTTAAGAGGCTTGCTCTCTCCCTAGTTGTATACTCCAGGTAAAAACCGTGTTTTCAGATCTCTAGATGAGCAACGGCGATGTTTTGGCATCGCGTCCTCCCTAGAGGCGTCGCTTTGGAGGTTCCATTAATTCTACTTCCTCCATCTTCAAATAGTTGGGCAGACGCTTTTGGAGATAGTAGCGGGATGCTCAAGGAGTGAGTGGATCTTCTTCTTTGTCACTCTCTTTCTCTGCACCCCTTTTCGCTAGGAGTGCTTAGAGGATTAGTTTTCAGCTGTTTGGATGTGTTGGTCAGTGGCTCAATGGTGGCTTCGTTGGAGGTATAATTGGTGCGGTGCTAGCCCGTTGGTGTATGTAAGCATCGTCTGTAAGTGGTTGTGGCTTTTTGCTCCTTTTTTTTATTTTAGTTTTATATGATTGTAATCTTGTAATTTTTTCTACCATACCGATATAAAACATCACAATGTATGTATAATGTTATTTGTAAAAAAAAAAATCTAAAATGATAGTTATCTATAGATTATAGTGCTTACGTTACAGTTTACTTGAAGTAAACACTTCAATTCGTTTGACCGCTCTAGTATATCTTTGGTCGGTCCCGAGTAAAAAGTTGTTTGAAATGGTAGTACTAGGCTACTAGCACTGGTTTCAAACGGTGTTGATAAACTTGATATCCATGCATGTTCATCTAGTACAGTACTGGAGTAAAAGATTAGCAGAACAAAGCCGTACCCTCGGCGGCTCTGCCCCATGTGATGATGGAGAGATGAAGAGAGAAGCAAATCAGCAATGCAGTTGAATGATGATTATTATGGCATCATAATTTCGTGGCAGTGTTCCGGTTGAGAAGCAGGTGAGGCCGTGAAGGACGGAGCAATGTCCGGTTCCTTTGTCCTGTCGATGCCAACCAGTGACGGGTCCAAAGCCTAGTCGCGTACCACGTCTACACCAAAAAGGCTCCATCTGCGATGGGTGGACACACGGACCAGAGTCGCGAGAGGGGATGAAAATAGTCACAAAAAATTCTAGACCGATCGAGTGTCGTTCTCATACAGGTAGAAAATAGCATTATTATCTTATTATTTTTATGAAAACAATAGCGATATGGTTGAAAGTCTTTTATATTTATGGATTTAACTAACGGCTCCAATACGATTAGAAAAACTAAATTTTATAGGTAGCGTAAAACAAAAATAGTTGGAAACGATATTATTTAAGGAAAAAAGATATCAATACGGTTATAAATTTTCATACCATTTTAACGCTGGTACTATTTCTAGTCATATATAAAAAATATTTTTTCAAAAAAGGTTTTTTAAGATCGATTCAAATCGATAAATATGATTAATTCTTAACCAATCGAGCACCGTTTATAAAGAGAGGATTAGCCTGACCTTTCGTTGCAGCCGTGGTTTATGTCTTGCCTGGCTACGGCCGCAGCAACACTACAACTCCTCCTACCGATTGTGCACCGTGCACCTTCTCACGTGATCCACATCCACTGTGCGAAGCTCCTCACCATCCAAAACGACGTATGCAGGGAACAAGATTTGAGGAGCCAATGGTGGAAATGGGAAGGTTGGACAAGCAAGGACAATATGAAAAGAAGAAAGAAAATTCTGTCGGCAAGGGAAAAGATTTGAAGAGCTGTTGATGCCATATAACTCTCCATATTGTTTCAAGATGCAGCCGGCAAGGAAAAGGATTTGAAGAGCCACTGATGGGATTGGGAAGGTTGGGGAAGAAAGGACAATGAAAGATTGAAAAATGAAATTCTGTTGTAAGGAATAGACTGGAGAGACTGCTGAGGCCTGAAAAGTTAGGTACTCCCCGTTCCAAAATAAGTTTATTTATGAGTTTTTTATCCAACCTTTGATTGTCCGTTCTATTTAAAATTTTTTATAATTAGTATTTTTATTGTTATTATATGATATAGAACATGAATAGTATTTTATACTTAACTTATTTTTATTTTTTTTAATAATTTTTTTAAATAAAACGAATGGTTAAATGTTAAACATAGAAACCCGCAAATGAACTTATTTTAAGATAGAGATAGTAGAAGAAGCCTTGATAGTCAAGGCCACATGGCGTTAAACTGTCCATCTGCTAGATTATCCATGCATTTAGAGCTTATTCTATTGAAAGGAATTTTAATCTATAGGAATAGAAATAAATGCACACACTAATTATTTTTCAAGAGATTTGAATGGATGTAAATTTTTCAGTGTATTCTCTTTATAACTTGCAAGCGGAAAATTTTCTTTCGTTTCTCATATAGTTTATTCCTACAAACCGAATGACACCTATGGCGATTAATTCTTAGGAATTTGTTTGCTTTGTTTTTCCTAAAAAAGCCCAACGAGTCCTTAATGGTTCAAAAGGGATCAAGTAAACTTGCATATTGTCCTATAAAACCACCATTCAAGTGAGCGCTAAACGACATATACATATACACGCACACACATATGTGAATGTGTGTGTGTCGTTCAAAAAAAGTGAATGTGTGTGTGTGTGTGGTGAAAATCAACTTATCGAAGCCAACTACAAAAAATTTAGATCATGGCATGTCAACTAATCCGCAGAAATAATTTAGATCATGACCTGTCTTTCAAACATCACACATAACCCCAAAAAAATACACTTCGAGAAACATACAACTATCGAGTAGCAGCTGCATCAACATCACAGATCACAAGTTCAACAACAGGTTAACATGTCCCAAATGACACCATCACAATTTCAGAGATAGCACAGTACACTAACAGCCTGAATGAATACTGACGAGCGACCAACAAAATGTTTGTAGTTAAAACCCAAGCTAGGCGCCGATTCGATCAGCAGTAGAACATCACGTCCTTGACGTTCTCCTTGATCTGCGGGAGGCGGCGCACCGCCGGTGGCTGGCCGCCGGCCGCCGCCTGGTTGCCGCCGCTGCCGACCGACGAAGCTCCGTCCATGGCGGGGGGCTCATCGTAGTACCTCGCCCGGAATGCTGCCAGGTGAGCGTAGTAGGCTGGAGGGACTGCACAAACATGATGGATGTGTGTTATCTTCAGTATATTTATTTTTCTAATAAGCCAGCACTTCGAGTGTGCCAATTTTATTTAGAGCACTGCTACACGTAGGCCGTGTTTAGTTCCAAAATTTTTCTTTAAACTTTCAATTTTTTCATCACATCAAAACTTTCTTACACACACAAACTTCTAACTTTTCCGTCACATTGTTCCAATTTCAACAAAATTTCCAATTTTGGTGTGAACTAAACACAACCTACTAATTTTTTATTAACAATCATCTCAACCGTTTGATTTAAATAGATAGAAGTTACAATAAATCTAGATGCACTTATGACACCAGCGTTAGTAATAAGAATTTAGTAAGAAAAAGTAAGTACGTATAATCATTCCCTTTTATTAAATATACCCGAGGAAAAATAAGAAGTGTAAGTATGAAAAATGCATTATCTTTAGTTTAAAGATAGAAAAAGAAACAAAGGTAAATTTAGCTCTATGGAAAATAAGCTGTGCAAGTATGGAAAATTTAAAAAGATAGAAAAAAACAAGCTCTAGAAGTATGAAAAATGTGTTATTTCAGCTAGAGCATTAGGATGAAAGCTTACCAACAGAGACAGACCGGGTGCATCGAGCGTAGCTGGAAAATTTCAAGGCAAAGATCAGGTCAGGTTTATGGATGGTACAAATTAACAACGCAAAAGTTGAGAAACAATTCAGAGGCTTACGTGTAACACAAATTGTAAGTGAGCATCTGCAGCTGATCGGCACTAAAACGGTTCTCGTCATGGAGAACGTGGTAGTGGGTTGGTCTGCTTGTTCCCTGGACAGACAAGAGCAATTTCACATCATTGATATTTCAGTCGTCTACAAAGATAAATGGGAAAAAAAGAAATCCACGATGAGCAAAATAAAATTGTTGTGTAAATATATATCTACCTGGATTCCGGCATGGCTGCACAGGTAGAAGTCGAACTCACTAGGGTGGCAAATGTTAGTGTCAACCACGGTTCCTGCATATATACCAGAAAGTGTATCAGACACACAATCTTACACACACACACACAGACACACAAACACACACAGAATTTAGAAAAAAAGACAATTACAAAATATTATGTAATACACAATCACAGGCATCACACTAATTATGTGTTTTCTGGTAACAGATAGCTAGGATTCATAATTTCATAGGCAAATTATATACCTGGACGAACATTTCCACTTCTGTCCGTCAGATCTTGCCTTCCATGCACCTCAGGGAAGAGCCTTGTGTGGTGCCTCTTCTGGACAACCACAAATGTCACCAGGGGCCTGTATGCTGGGTCCAAAGATGCAATAGCCTTTGAACAAAAAAATATATGAAAATGTCATGAAGCAACCTACATGATAAAAGTGTAGTTACGTACATAATCAAAGATCATTACCTTCTTGATTGCGTCCATCTCATAGAGCAGAACATGAAGGAATTGTCCATCACTTACACCATCCCTGCGTGTGCAAAACATTACCAAATTACAAATAGGTCCAGATTTGGATGCATATTATTCTAAGGAATTATAAAATCCAAGTTTATCTAGGTATCTAGTAATTTGACACAATAGAGACATGATTTGAAGTGGATACCTGTAAAATATTATCCTTTGAGGCTTACGTTTAGCATTCTTACTGTAGAATGACATAAGCAACTCCCTGCAAAAAAAAAAAAGTGAAAAGAGCATCTAAGTTTCAAGCCAAAATGTCATTGCCACTTTCTCAATTTGATCTCAGGACAAAAAAGAAAAACTAACCTGAACATTCCGCCGCATATGAAATTCTTCTTCGAACCTTCAGCCTTCTGTGCTGGAGCATCAGCATTCTGCGCAACTTCAGTCATGGTGAAGAGATCTTGTATAATCTCCTGCCGAGGTGGCTGGGCAGAGACGAGGGCTTTGTACTTGGTGATCTCAGGCCAGTCCATGGAGGCCACCACCTGCGTCACAATGTTAATTTTTTTAAAAAAATATTTCATCAAAATAAATTCCATTCAATTATCCACTAAAATTTCGTTTAGTTCAATTCATTCAACGATGAAGTAAACAATTTGATGTCAGGAAATGAGAGAAACTAACAGCTGCGATCGACGCCGATGAGTCCTCTCCAGAAGCAGGATGGGTGACATCGGCACCAAAAATTATTGTTGTGTTTTCAAGCCCACCGGGTACAAGAGGTCTCTGAAGAACTGAGTTGCGTCCTCCAGCCTGATCAAGACAGTGTAAACATCTCTCCATTGAACACCTAATTCGTATATAAAACGGAGAGGGAGATTTTTAAGTGATTTTAAGTGCAGTGGCCACAAACAAAGCTTACCTTGACATTGATTTTGAGTGAGACATTTTCCAGGAACTGCCTGTCTAAGCTCAAGAGCTTGCGGCCTGGCTTGAGGCACTGGGATACTATCCCAAGTTCAGTCTCACACACCCTCTTAATTCTTCCTGCAAAATTGCACAGTTTACTGTGTAAATATATACTGGAAGAGCTTGCAGTCATATTAATTAACTAAGAATGTGTACATACCATAATACCCATTAACATCTGGGAGAATCACAATGAGCAGCTGGAGTTGAGGAGCCCTTGTGTGAATGTTGCTCAGGGCAGCTTCGATGTTATTAGGAGCAGCTGACCCCACCTCTATCTCTGGCATTTCATTGAAAACCTACGAAGACAAACACGGTGTTATATGTGCTGACTAACAATTCAAACTTAAATATATTCATAAGCATAACACAAGCTCACCATGCCAATAGCATTGCATGTATAAACTAGTTCGCCGCATAGTCTGTGCACGGCATCAATATGCATGCGTGAAAAATTCACGCAAGTCCACTTTTGAACCACAGCTCCACCAACCATTTTCTGGGAGAAAACAAACAAATGTGCAAGTGAACAACAGAAAGAAGGCTATTCAAATCTAGTATTGCATATGTTAATAGTTTCGTATTAAAAGCTTTCATGTGTCATCCACTAATTCTTCCAAAATGAAAAGTGTGACATCCACTATATTGCGATCACAAGTTTCAAAGACATGCAATGAGCAGAGCACAACCAATCTCTACAAGGTCGGTATGATGAATTATTTCAAGTAATGTCAAATAATAGTAATAACACAGAAATTATATTGTAAAAAAAATTGTTCAGGGAAGCATTCAACATTGTATCACCTTATTGATCATATTCCATTGCCCAACTCTGGGATTACAAGTTTTCTCCTTTCCAGAGTCATGGTATCTCAGCTGAAACAACGTAAAAGGTCACATAAGTATAAAAATACAGGAGATTAAAAAAAACACCAAAATGAGTTGTAGAATAGCTACCGTGGGCGCAGGCAGCACGCGAGCTGGCATAGTGGCCATCTGATTGGAAATATTAATTCTAAAATCACTCACCACCTTATCAGCCGGGTAGTTGTTGTGTTGAACCATCTATACAATAAATAAATATAATCGTGTTAGATCGTTAGTAGTTATAACACGTATGTTAAAACATCAAAATGTCCCAATCTTTGTTTGATAAATAAATAGGAGTGATGTTTTTTTTCCTCATGACCAAATTAGAATGTTGGATGCATGCTTAACAAAATTCTAAAAGAAGAATGTGGGTTGTCCATTAATTAGGGATGCACCACTTTATGTGTACTACAATAAATGACATGTTTTGAATTTTTTTTTGAGTAAATGCAACACATTTGATTAAACATACACACAATATCTAGAATGGTAACACAGGTACCTCATGGCTAAAAGTATCTCGAGATACCAAATTTTACAGTAAAAAAATGTGTACCTTTTAGTACATTATCAAGGATGATAAAATTACCATTATTGATAATATCTCACATAAAGAAAGAGATGCATGGGACTCTTGAAAAATCATTATATAAGCACTAAAAGTAATTACTCTCCTGGTCTACAAAAGATGGGTAATTTTACCGTCCTTGAGAAGGTACTAGAGTTTAGAGGTACCATATTTTTCTAGGATAAAATTTAATACCTCTAGATACAAAGTACCTCAAGGTACCAAAAATTTTAGTGTAAAATTTAGGTACCTTTTTAAGGACCGTAAAATTCCTCACAAAAGAAGGTAATGTCAAATGTCAATATATGTGAGCTGGACACTTACCTCAATGATTTTCTGCTCCCTTTTCTGGGGAGGCTGGCATGTTGCTCTCAGGAGGCCAGTCACTTGTTTGTCATTGAGCTTCTTGGAGTATCTTTGCCCTTCTACAATGGTGCATACCTACAAACGTGTTATATGCACAGTTAGTATAATGTTTCTGGAATCATGCACAAAAGAAATGCACAATTTACCTCCATTGGCAAATATATAGGGTTAGAAGGGTTGCCGGATTGCAGACAGGGCCAAGACGTGTACTGCAGCCTGTATTTGTACCGCTGCGAGAAGTACTGAATAACAGTCTGGGTAGTTCCATCCATAGAAAAGCTAGAAACAGAAAATGGCAAGATACAAGTTGTGAGTTTAGAAAGTATGATTATAGTTTATAGAGCACATAAGCAAGGGGGAGAAGAGAGGAACAATTACTTCAGCTGACTCAGTGGCTCAGATGTAATCGTAGTGATCTTGTACTTGCTGCTCTTCCCCTGGTGTGTTGTTTCAACACGAACTCCCCGTAGTGCTTTCTTAACCTGGAGAACAAATTTTAAGTAGAATAAAGAAGTCAGTAACTATAGATAAGTTATTGGGTCACACATTTTGGTTGAGAAATTTGTACCTTCAGGCGATCAATGTCAGAAAGAGGCCGCCTAGGGTCAGGGCCATTAGCATTAGTAGGTGTGCCCAGACAATTCTTGACATATTCTACCACGCTGATAGGTTTGAAGAATGGGGTAGAGGATATGTCTGAAAGCACGAGGACCCAATCAAGATTCAAGAGTTAGTAACAATGCTAATAAACCATGCATAAAAAGAGCTGCATAAGTAAATCTTGTGAAAATAAAAATTGAACTGTAAGATGTTTTTGCATGTTCACATTACTTTGTGTCTTACAGTTATGAATTCTTTTTGGTTGTGTGTGAAACATTGTAAAAGTGTTCAATATACTAATGGGGATGCCGGTTTCCATAAAAACCAATGTGCGTGTGTGCGCCTATAAAGGCCTAGCAAACAAAACAAATACTAAATAGGCTTGCTTTGTGTAAATATAAGTTCAACACAACTGAACAAAATTAATGGGAAGTGTTGTCTACTTTGGCAAGAAAGAAAATAAGGAAACCACCTAGCAAAAATGAATGTGTAGGGTGCATATTTTGCCAAAATTTCAATATAGAGGCCCAAATAAAACTGAATTGGATTATTTGTGTCATCAATTATCCGCCCAAAATAAAGAGGTTTTAGAGATGATTATGCACCTATGTTCAATGAGAGTCCCATCTGAGTTGGGCGCAGGCTCTGATAGTATCCTTTCCAGCATTCCAGCCCATCACCAATGTCTTGTCGGCCGAACATAGTGGAGTAGAACGACCGAGAAACGATGACATAGCTGCAAAATGCAAAGATATCAAGAAATCAATCTTATGGTCTAAAACGTTTTTGCCTCCTAAAAAAGTGATTATGACGAAAGGCATCATACTTCAGAGAAGGTGACTCCCTCAGTACAACGTCCAGTGCTTGGATCGTTTGCTGCTGAGAGTCCCTCTGCCGGCCGGCGATGAACTCGTGCAGGTGGTGCAGATCTGCTTGGCCAGCACGTCGAATTGTCACCTTGTACTCGCTTAATTTTCAATTGAAAAGGCAAACATTAAACGGTTCATTAGTTAGTTGGTGCATTCCACAAATAAGTATCGTACCAAGCTAGAGTGCTCAAAATGTGTAGTTAAACATTATCCACAAATAAGTAGTCTAGCATGTGTACTAGACATTTTCCAAAAATAAGTGGCCTAGTTAGAGTGCATAAAATGTAGAAGACATTTTCCAGAAATAAGTAACCTAGCTAGATGTACAAAATGTACTAAACACATATCAGAAAAACAAGAAACCTAGCTAGAGTACACAAGTGTTAGTAAACATTAATTAGGAGTGACAATGCTCACATTTCCCTGAGCTCTTTGCCCAGCTTGATCTTGAAGTCCATGGAGTCGAACGGCAGTTTTCCTGCAGTGTACAGGGCCTTGCTTCCGTCGTACGCGAAGCTTATGCCACCGAGATGCGACTCACGGTGCAACCTGGCCAGCTCAGACATCACTACCCTGTTGATGCGCCTGGTCTTTGGTGGGGGACTCAAACTCACCTGAAAAAAAAAAGATGCATGCAGTCTAATCGTCAAAAAGGATAGGAACGACTAGGATCGCTAACAATGAGTTATAAACCAACTATAAAACTTACCTAAAAGAGAGACAAACAAAAGTAACAAGTGTTTGTTCTCATACAAAAGCTAGATCTACACATGTTTCAAGATATGTGTTAAATTCATAGTGAGAGAAAAAGGGAGTAGGGAAAAATTTGAGCTAACCATAGCTAACCTATTATACATGTCAGGGCTGGCTCTGGGCCTAGGCGGGTTGTGCGACCGGCTAGGTCCCAGAGCAGAGTGGGGCCATCACTCTAAGAAACGCATTTAACTCATGCTCGTTGCATGCTACAACAATAGTACAAGCTACAACCTTTTTGACCCACTTACTCTCTCTCATCACATTGTTCACCTCCAGCTCGGCATCAAGGCTAGCATGGTATTTCTAATAGCTAGTAGCTAGCGTAGTATTTGTACTTGCTCTTACCTGTTCTCAGTCCATAAATTGACAAGTTTCATCCTTTCAATCTTTCACTTTCTACTCACTAATCCAATTTTCTTTTTAATGAGGGACATTTTGGTCTTTTATTGTCACTAAATGTTCCCACTCACCAATACAACTTTTCTACAAATGAGGGACATTTTGGTCTTTTGTTCTCATTAAATGTTCCTACCCACCAATACAAGTTTGCTATTCACGAGAGGTATTTTGATCTGTTGTTCTCACTAAGTGTTCCTCAAGATGTGAGGGATATTGGTTTATTTTAGGACAAAAGGGGTATATGCTAAATGTCAATCACTTTTTCCCATGGTTAAGATTGCTCAAAGATTCGTGTGGGCTCTATAATAATCTAACCCTAATCCTCCATCTCACTCAATCCCCTTATACCCCGCGCGCCGTCACCCCCACCCTCCCTCCCTCGTACCCCTCACGCCGCCACCTCCACCCCCACTAATCCAACTTTCTTATTAACGAGGGGGTATTTTGATCTTTTATTCTCACTAAATATTCCCACTCACCAATACAATTTTTCTATTAACGAGGGGTATTTTGTCTTTTTTTCACATTAAATGTTCCCACCCAATAATGAGGGGTATTTAGGTCTTTTGTTCTCCTCAGGATGCGAGGGATATTGATTTATTTTAGGACAAAGGGGGTATATGCTAAATGTCAATCACTTTTTTGGATGGCTAAGATTGCCCGAAGATTCGTGCATTTCTAACCCTAATATCCCCCCTCTCACTCCCTCCCCTCATCCCCGCGCGCCGCCACCCCTACCCTACCTTCCTCAAACCCCACGAGTTCTCCGTCAGATTCCGCCGCCACTATTATCGTCTTCCTCAAGTTTGCCACCGATACCCCTACATGCCTCTCCTCTACCATTTCCCTCACCTCTCCTAGCTAGTCCGATGAGATTCCTCGCCACCAACATCAAATCACCGTTCTCCTTCTCCCATGCGGCTGAGGCTGCGCCGCCTCGGTCATCCCTCTAAACCCGAAGATCCCCCTTCTTCCACCACATGCACACCACCCAAACCCCTACTTCAGGGCACAAATAGCAAAGATGAAAGACACAGGAACTCTACTAAGATCTCATCAACCAGGCAACCACACAGTGGACCAAGACCCTTTTCCTCAATCAGCAACCAGATCAACTCTGCACAGATGCACGAGGCTACTACCTAAGGATTCAGACAGAGATGTGGTGATAACAACAAAACCGAGCAACAGCGAGAGACCGAAGTACTAAAGGTCTAAAGCCACGATTTAGCCGCGAGAGCTGAGTTGATGATGGATACCGAAAATGAAGCAAGCACGGCACATGGCCCCTCTGCGGAGCTTTCGCCCAAAACGGCAACCCGAAAACTACCGCGTGTATACAAGATAAAGGTAAAAAAAAAAAGAATGAGAAGATGATGAAGATAAAAAATAATACTCCACCAGATGTAGTACTCCAGTACACTGTAATCTAATACTGCTAGAAGTATACGAATCGCTTGATCGATTCGTGAATCGCATCGCAACGAATTTATTCTACTAGTCTACGAGGGATGAAAGCGATTTACTAGAGATATAATCGCAACGAAAGCGAAATGAAAGGGGAACTGGAAGAACGAGTAGGGTTAATGTAGCTAGGGGAGGCTTACGTCGTAGAGGTAGATCATGTCGTTGTCGGAGACGCGGACGAGGAAATGGTTCGCGCGCACCACGATCCTCTCCCCCACCGTCCCGAACCCCGGCCGCGACGGTGGCGCGACGCCCTTGCTCGACACCGGGATGGGCGCCGGCGGCGCCGCGGGGGGAGCGGGGCGGCCGCCGCCCGCCACGACAGCCAGCTGCCTCCCAACGTCCCTCGCGAGGGCAGAAACCGCCGCGGCTGCCGGAGGAGGCTGCGCCGCCGCCGCTGGCTGCGCTGACGACGACGACGCCACCGCGGGGATCTGGACCGCGGGAGTAGGAGGAGGAGTACTCCGAGCAGCAACAGCAACCGGACCAGGAGTCGACGCCGCCGGAGCCGCGGCCATAGCAGGGCGAACGCCATCTCCGCCGCCGCCGCCACGGCCACGGCCGCGTCCGCCGTCCCCGCGCCCGCCGCCGCCGCCGCCTCCAGTTCCTCGACCAACGACACCACCAGCAGCAGGGGCAGGACCACGGCCGCCCCCGTCGCCGCGGCCGTAGCCCGGCTGCTGCTGCTGCTGCTGCTGCGGGTGGCCGCCTCCCCTTCCGCCGCCTCGCCCACCGGCCGGGCCGCGCCCTCTACCGTCCCGCCCACCGAGGGGCCCGCGCCCTCCTCCGACGAGGCCGTCGCCGCCGCGTGACGCCATGAGAGGCAAAGAGGGTTTTGTCTGGGTGGGAGAGTAAGCGGAGGCGAGGTCGCCGAGGCAGAGAGAGAGAGAGAGAGAGGGTTGATGAGACAAGGAGAGGAGAGAGGCGGGGCTATTTATAGCCGGGGCGGGTCAAGCCGAGGGTCCCACGAGGGATTTTTGGAAAGGATCGGCCCGCTTTTGGTGGCACTCACTGACAGGTGGGACCCACTCTCGCGCCGGATGATCGGGCCCATCCGGCTGTGAGTGAGTGGGCGGCGCGGGCGCGCTGATTGCGGATGAGCGGCGAATTGAGCGGTTGCAGCCATAGCATTGTGGCTCTTACTACCGTCTAACGGAAATACAGAAAGAAATCAACCAAAGAAAAGAAGGGAATCATAGAACTGTCTATATAGAACATCGAACTAGGGAGATTAAGGCTTATTGATCTTGTGATATACTCCCTCCGTTTCGAAATGTTTGACGCCGTTGACTTTTTTAAACATGTTTGACCGTTCGTTTTATTAAAAAAATTAAGTAATTATTAATTCTTTTCCTATCATTTGATTCATTGTTAAATATATTTTTATGTAGGTATATAATTTTACATATTTCACAAAAGTTTTTGAATAAGACGAACGGTCAAATACGTGCTAAAAAGTTAACGGTGTCAAACATTTCGAAATGGAGGGAGTATTGTTGTTCAAGTTAAAATATAGTAACAATCTCCTCTACTTCTAAATATTATTTAGTTTTTTTTGCTTGTATTTATATGGAGCAAACGGCTAAAAGAAAGAATATATCTCGATATATTATAGTACATTGTGATTATAAGATGTGCAATTCTCGTAACATTTTGATTTGTGGTATACCATCTATGGTATAGTCTCTTTTTACAAACGGGATATGCAACACTCATCTACCATGACGTCTCCTCCTACGCGTTAAGTGCTTGTGGACCCAACGACCGTGTGCCTGGTGCACCTCTCACGCTCACAATGTTTTCTCTCAAATGGCTTTTTTTTGACCTCGGGATGCTCGTCAGACCCGTGTCATAATGTTTTCTCTCAAACAACTCTTTTGGCCTCGGGATGTCCGCTTGACTGAGCCAGGTGGCCATTTGTCTGGAGCACAGGCATATATATGCCTATTGAGATAAGTGGGCACAAGAGACGTCACGAGATTATCACCACCTGTCTTTCAGATGAAGATTAATGAGTGCAAAATCAGTGAATTAAAAAGTAACATGAAACTTGATGGATTATTCCTTCTCTAATTGGCTCTTACTGTCTTATGAAAGGAAATCAACAAAAGAAAACAAGGTAATCATAGACATAGATAGAACATGAAACTAGGGAGATTAACGCTTCACTATTGAGATTGACCATGTGATATTGTTTTTCAAGTTAATATGTATAACAATATTCTCTACTTTCTAAATATTAATATTTTGCTAGTATTTCATAGGGAGCAAACAACTACAAAGATAGAATAAATCTAGATATGTTATAGTATATTATGATTATACGACGTGTAATTTATAACATTTTTTTTCATGGTATACCATATATGGTATAGCCTCTTTCTACGAACGGGCCGCAAAATGCATCTATCATGGCGTCTCCTCCCACGCATTAAGTCCTTGTGGGCTCAACGACCGTGTGCCTGGTGCACCTCTCGCGCGTCACAACGTTTCCTCTCAAACGGCTCTTTTGACCTCGGGATGTCCGTCTGACCTGCGTCACACTGTTTTCTCTCAAACGACTATCTTGACCTCGGGATGTCCGCTTGACCGAGCCAGGTGGCTAATTGTCTGGAGCCCAGATGTATATATATATGCCTATTGACATAAGTGGGCACAAGAGACGTCACGAGCACATCACCACCTGTCTTTCAAGATGAAGATTAATGAGTGCAAAACCAGTGAATCAAAAAGTAACATGAAACTTGATGAACTATATATTCCTTCTCTAATTGGCTCTTACTGTCTTACAGAAGGAAATCAACAAAAGAAAACAAGGTAATCGTAGATATAGATAGAACATGAAACTAGGGAGATTAACGCTTCACTATTGAGATTGACCATGTGATATTGTTTTTCAAGTTAATATGTACAACAATATTCTCTACTTTCTAAATATTAATCTTTCGCTAGTATTTCATAGGGAGCTAACAGCTACTAAGATAGAATATATCTCGATATGTTATAGTACATTACGATTATACGACGTGCAATTTGTAACATTTTTTTCATGGTATACCATATATGGTATAGCCTCTTTCTACGAACGGGATGTGCAAAACGCATCTAGCTATCATGATGTCCCCTCCCACATGTTAAGTGCTTGTGGGCCCAATGACTGTGTGCCTAGTGCACCTCTCACGCGTCACAATCTTTCCTCTCAAACGGCTCTTTTGACCTCGGGATGTCCGCTTGATCGAGCCAGGACGCCAGTTGTCTAGAGCCTAGGCGTTCACATATATGCCTATTGAGATAAGTGGGCACAAGTGACATCACGGGCATATCACCACCTGTCTTTCAAGATGAAAATTAATGAGTGCAAAATCAGTGAATCAAAAAGTAACATGAAACTCGATGGATTATTCCCTCTCTAACATGCCAAACCATAGCTTGTGGCTCTAACCGACTTGCGAAAAGAAATCAATGAAAGAAAATAGGGAAATCACACACATATGTAGAACATGAAAGTAGGGAGATTAAAGCTTCTCTATTGAGATTGACCATGTGATATGATATTGTTTTTCATGTTAATATGTAATACTACCAATCTTCTCTACTTCTAAGTATTAATCTTTTGCTAGTTTTTAGTAGTGAGCAAACGGCTAAAAAGACAGAATATATCTCGATATGTTACAGTACATTATGATTATACGACATGCAATTCATAACATTTTGATTCGTGGACCATCTATGGTATAGCCTCTTTCTACGAACGGAATGTGCAACACGCATCTAAATGACGTCTCCTCCCACGCGTTAAGTGCTTGTGGGGCCAATGACCGTGTGCCTGGTGCACCTCTCACGTGTCACAATGTTTTCTCTCAAACGGCTCTTTTGACCTCAAGATGTCTGTTTGACCCGTGTCACAATGTTTTCTCTCAAATGGCTCTCTTGACCTCAGGATGTCTGCTTGACTGAGGTAGGTGGCCAGTTGTCTGGAGCCCAGACATAGATATATATGCCTATTGAGATAAGTTGGCACAAGAAACGTCACGAGCATATCACCACCTATTTTTCAAGATGAAGATTAATGAGTGCAAAATTAGTGAATCAAAAAGTAACATGAAACTTGATGGATTATTCCTTCTCTAATTGGCTCTTATTGTCTTACGAAAGGAAGTCAACAAAAGCCAAGGCAATCGTAGACATAGATAGAACATGAAACTAGGGAGATTAACACTTCACTATTGAGATTGACCATGTGACATTGTTTTTTAAGTTAATATGTACAACAATATTCTCTACTTTCTAAATATTAATCTTTATACGAACAGGATGTGCAACACATATCTATCATGACGTCTCCACCCTCGCGTTAGGTGCTTATGGGCCCAACGACTGTGTGTTGGTGCACCTCCCACGCGTCACGGTGTTTTCCTCCAAACGACTCCTTTGACCTCAAGGTGTCCGCTTGACTGAGCTAGGACACCGGTTGTCTAGAGTCTACGCATAGATATATATGCCTATTTAGATAAGTGGGCACAAGAGATGCCACGAGCATATCACCACCTGTCTTTCGAGATGAAAATTAATTGATACAAAATCAGTGAATCAAAAAGTAAGATGAAACTTGATGGCTTATATCTTCTCTATTTGCGGTTGACCATATTATCAATTTTCCATCCACGGCATAGCCTTTCATTACGTGTGGGATACCTAACACTTCTTTTTTTTTCGACATAGCAAGCTTTGCGTGTATGAAAACATCAACTATCAATAATATAAATTAAATGGCTTTGTTAGCGATGAATAGACTAGGGATAGTGTCTATCTGAATTGTAACTATAAAGTAAATTGCACTGGTGGTACACGAGCTTGCGAGGTGGGTGCGATTTAATACATGAACTTGTAAATCGCTCATATCGGTGCATAAACTTGTCTAGTGTGTGCAAAGTAAAGCCAAACAAACATATCGTAACTAACTAATTTCACTAAGTTAGACAATGATGAAGATGCTATGTAGGCTTGCATGCCAAGATGATGTTACTTAAATATGCATATGTTCAATCAAACATATAATAAGTCATGTTAATTACACATATTAAAAATGTATACAGAAGGAGTATGCAATGGATACAAAATAATAAAAGAACAAGATAACTACAATATGTACAAAGGTTAATTATTCACACATACAACATATCTCATGCCCTCATATGTAATCATGTGTGCACGTGTGACATTCTATATATAATCAGACTTACTCAGCATGATTAATCACAATACATTGTTTCGGACTAGTTACAAATTCCATCTATCATAAGGAGTATTTCGTAAGTTTATATATCGCCAACGCAATTTACTCGTGACTATAATACGGGAATCACCAAACAATGTGGCCCTCTTTAATTTCTACTCGTGGGAGTCTTCAACGATATCACTTCCAAACAACATATATATATAGCTTCTTTTTAATATGTGTGACACACAACAAGTCAGCATGCACTGGTGGAGAAATGCTTTTTAGTCCCGGTTCGTAACCCCCCTGTAGTCCTGGTTTTTCAACCGGGACTACGAATCCGGGACTAAAGATCGCTATCTTTAGTCCCGGTTCAAATAACCGGGACAAAAAATCAATCTTTAGTCCCGGTTGGTGGAGCATCTTTAGTCCCGGTTGATAACACCAACCGGGACTAAAGATATTTTTTCTTTTTTTTTCTGCTTTTAATATTGAATATTGATTTCACACCATCCCCTCCCATATCCAAATCATCACATATTACAGAACATCTCCAAATCCTCAAACAAATCATCTCCAAATACATTACAAACTCTTAAAAAAATTACATCACAGGGTTCTAAAAAAATTCATCACAGATTCACATCTCACACAAAAATACATCACAGATTCACATCTCAAAAAAAAAAAGAAAAAAAATCCGGCCGGCGGCCACTGCCGCCTCCCCTCCTCCCCTCCGCGCCGGCCGGCCAGCGCCGCGCCGGTTGCCGCCGAGCGGCCGCCCACCGCAGCCGCCGCCTCCGCGCGGCCTCCCGCGCCGCCACGCCGGCCGCCCACCGCCGCCGCCGCGCGGCCCCCCGCGCTGCCGCGCCGGCCGCCATGCAGGCCGCCTCCGCGCCGTCCCCTGCGTCGCCGCCTCCGCGCCGGCCGCCTGCACTGTGGTGAAGGAAAAAAGGAAGGAGAGGAGGGGAGTTAGAGATAAGGAAAGAGATAAGAAGTTAGAGAGGAAAAAAAGAGATAGAGGGAGGAGTTTGTTGTGTGGACGGGAAAAGAGGATCGGTACTATGGATTATATAGTGTGTTTTGATTTTTATTCCCGGTTAGTAACACCAACCGGGACTAAAAATAGTCCCGGTTGGTGTTACTAACCGGGACTAAAGATCATAGGGCCCTGACACAGCCTGACATGGAATCAACCGGGACTAAAAATCATCTTTAGTCCCGGTTGGAGTTACCAACCGGGACTAAAGATGATTTTTAGTCCCGGTTGGTAACAACAACCGGGACTAAAGATCTTCCTCTTATTAATCGGGACTAAAAATCATTTTTAGTCCCGGTTTTTAATGGAACCGGGACTATTGTGGATATGGGTCGACCGACTAAAGATGGTTTCTCTACCAGTGATGTGTCCTCAATGACATTTCACATGTGAAATGTCCACAACACACACCTCAGTGACATCCCTCAACTTGTGCGTGGGACACAATGTACCAGCTCCTCCAATGCACGCCTCCTCCCAAAGCGTCGAACGCCCGTTGGCCCTACCTGTGTGTCGCGAAATCCGTCTCGTTTCCATATCAGCTTCGGTGAAGTCGGCGGCGACTCGCCGCCGCGCGCGCGCGCGAGCCCGCCGTACTCCGACGCCGATGCGGACCGCGAAGCCGAAGCCAAGTCGGTGGATCGATCCATCAGCCGATAATCAAATTGATCGGAGAATCCACCACGAAAGAACAAGAGATCGAATTAAGCAGAAGAAGTCGTACCTCGTCGATCGAGAGGTTTGAAGCTAAGCTTCTCGATCCCTGCTAGCCATGGCGCCGCGGCGGCGGGTGAGGCTCATCTGCTCCGCGGTGTCGCTGGCGCTCTACACCGCGTTCCTCGCCTTCTACCTGCTCTGCGCCACGGGGAGGTCGTTCCGCGGCGTGGTGCTCGGGCCCGGCGCCGGCGGCGTCCCGCCGCACGTGGAGCTCGCGTGGAAGCTTGCCAACTGGGTGGCCGTGCTGCTGTGCTGCGTCGTCTACGCGTACCTCGTGTCCTCCATCGTCGTCTCGTGTCGCCGCTCCGGGAAGCCGGCCGCCGCGCCGGCGGGGCTCCCGCCTCCTCCCGTGCAGATGGACATTTGCTAATTTGAAGTGTAGTACTAGTAGTGTTTGCAACTGCAATTAAGCAATGGCGGAGCTGAACCGGATAAATTTTAATATAACGAGTATCCCTCCGTAAAAAAAAAATCCTATCCTATCTATGAATCTACATGCGTGTCCAGATTCGTAGTTAGGGTTTATTTTTTTGGACCGAGTAGTACTTGTTAAAGAAATTTCATCATTAATTTACTTATGAATATTAAAATTTAATGGAGTTTTTGCACATGAGCCCGGGCAGCTGTGGCTCTGTCAATCTGTCATTGCAACTACAAGGGAAATACAATAGAGTAAGCAGCCACCTATTAGATGCCTATACATGTTATTTCCATATCATTAAAGATAATATAAAAATTAACTGAGTCATTAATTTTTGTTTCTATGTGGGTCAAGCATTTGTTCTCTCTCCTATTCTATTTACCAATCACAGATACTTTTTTCATGTGTGCCCACCTCAAATTTCTCTCATCTAATCTTTTCACCAATCATAAACATCTCTGGCAGGCACGCGCCCGTGCAGAACCATCAATAATTTAGTCGACCAATTCTCTCTCTTCACAACCTTTTTCTTTTAGCAATGTAGAAAAACTTGTATCAGCAAGCTAATAGTAAGTAGATTTTTTTTTTCTATTACAGTTACCCAATTGTGGTGTAATGCAAAAATAACTGTAGTGTAATGACAGGGAGCTCATAGATGAATGTAATTATTGGAGTAAATTTTCCCCACCATACATGCTTACGTGGCTTATAAAACGTTATGTGTCTATTTAATCAGGAACACTAATTGCTCCATTATTGTGTTGGGAATAAAATGGATAGACTAATCATTTCATTCCAATATTCTGTGATGCTATCTACAAGAGGATATCACATATACTATACATCGAAGGGCAAAAGATAATTGACATCTAAAACTTTTAAAATTCTGAGAACCAATTCTGTATCAAAATAAATTTATAAAATGTATAGTAAGTAGATTTCAAGGCAAAAAAAGCATAGTGATGCTCTCCCGCATAGAAGTTTTGTAATTCGATTGGGCCTTAGCTTATGCGTTCTATATACAGTTAGATCGAGCTTGATTTGTTAGCTAGTGTGTCTGTATATATTGGCCATTTTTGTTTTGTTTCCTGTAGGCTCTTTCTTTCTGTTTCTAGCACAATAAATTTCCATGAACTTGTTGCCCTGTTAAAAACGGTCTATTGGTTTGCTTAGCAAATCATACCTCTCATTCATCAAACTATAAAAATCAAGAGGCCATGGGCTAACAAATTAAACTATTACAACCTTATTGTTCAACAAAAAGAAGAAACATAAGACCTATAAACAAAGTAAATAAAGATGCTCCGATCCATATCCTTCGCAAGAGAAAAATGAGTTCACACTGGCATACCATTTTTTTCTTGATTCGTGTAGGAATTGAACTGAATCCTATAAAACCTCTTTAGAATTTTTGAAGTGACAAATCTTACACCTACTATATAAATGTGAAAAAAAAATCAATTATAGATCCCAAAGAGTGATAATAAATCCTATAGTGTCAAACTAAAAATGGCACATGATTAATCTTCATAGGGATTCATTTTCCCCAATTTGAACATACCCCATTTTTCTTGGAACTTCTGAAATATCCCACCAAAACACACTGGTGGAGAAACCATCTTTACTCCCGGTTTATGGACTACGAATCCGGGACTAAAAATCCCCGGGTGAAATAACCGGGAGTAAAGATCGATCACCTAAATCAAACCCCAAATCAAAGTAACATCACAAATCATTCACATCACAAATACAAATCCTAAGTTACTTACACACAAATCAAATACATCACAAATCTTAAAAAAATTACACACAAATCAAATGCATCACAGATCAATTATACATCTCAGATCCATGCAATAAATCATAAATTCTAAAAAAAAAGAAATTATACATCTGTCAATCACATTATAAAAAAAGAGAGAAGAACTGGCCGGCCGCGCTTCCGCCCTATGCGTGGCCCGCCGAGAAGTGGGGAGGGGACTCATTCTCGCTTCACGCAAAAAGTTCAAACCGGAGTTAAAAGTGACGGACAACCGTCCTTATAAGTAGCTGCCTCTCAGCCAGAACTAGCGAGGTGGTACTACAGCTAGCTACAGTACCGCGCACTACTGTAGCGCTGTTGCTGCTCTGCTCGCTTTGCTGCTGGGCCGCATGCATGCATGGGCCAAGGCCCATGGCCTGCTGCTGCTAGCTTTCTTTCTTTTTTTAGGGTGTTACATGGGATGAGTGAGGAGAGGAGGAGATAAAGGTTAGAACTTATTAACTAATCCTCCCGTGCGTCTCGGTCCTCTCGATCTCGCGCGGCGCATGCCGATCTTTTGAACCGGTTTTTAGTGGAACCGGGACTATTGTGAATTTTGGCCGACCGATCAAAAATGGTTTCTCCACCAGTGACCGATATTAACTTACATTCGCAAAAAAAATATTCTGAAAACAAATCCTCTCACAAGTCATACCCCCCTCCAAATTCCATTTCATTTCCTACATTATACAGTCGATTGTCAATCTTGACTCGATGAGATGCTAGCTCCATCCGGGCATGAAAGCGAAAATATGGTTACAAAATTCAATTAAATGGATTCCCACCCCCCCCCCCCCCTTTCTCCCTTTTTTTGTAGTGTGGCTGAAACTGAAGATTCCGATTTTCTAAAAGGATTGAGGAAAATTCAGAGGCCACGCACGCAAAATCCACTCGACCCAACCGCGAAACGAAAAAAAAAAAAAGAAACAAAAAATCAAACCAAACCAAACCAAAACAATGGAGCTCTCCCTCTCCGCGCGCCTCGCCCTCCCGCTCTCGCCGGCGGCGGGGACGGCGCGGCCGCGGCGGCCGGCCGCCTTCGCCTGCCGCTGCTGCTCCGGCGGCGCCTCCCACGACGGGACCACCCGGCGGCGATGGCTCGCCTCCCTCCTCGCCGCCACCGCTGCAGGTTATTAGTTCTTGATGGTTCCCCCTTCTAGATTGTTTCAGAAATCTGCTTGCTGAAATTTACGCGCTCTGATGGTATTATCTGTGTGGTTTGTGTCTCGGCGGCGTAGCTGTGGGGATTGGCGTGGCTGGGGGAGACGCCGATGCGGTGTCTACCAGCCGGAGAGCGGTAAGGACCTGACGAATTGTTTGCGCTCTATTTGTTTGAGAAGATGATCCTGCGATGTGGGGTTGAAATGTTTTCCTGTTCTTGTTGTTTGATTGGTTGGATTGGATTGGTTGTGTAGCTCAGGAGCGCCAAGATTCCGGAGAGCGAGTTCACCACCCTGCCCAATGGCCTTAAGTATGCTTCTGCAGCTGCTCCCTGTTGAATTTTCATCGCTTAGTTCGTCAAATTAAAACTGGAATTGATTGTGTACTGCACGAATTTCTGGCCCTAAATTGGGATGATGTCATGGTGTCAACATGTAGCTTCTATGTGGATATTATGGTATAACAGGTAGTTCATTCCACTAATTAACAAGGTCAATCCGTCAATGTGCTTAGGAAAAAAATGGTATAACAAAAGGTTGGTTTTAACATGTTACAAAATTGTTTTCTTCAGACAGGTTCTGTTATCGTGTGACTGGAAGGCAGACCATTCTTTGCTATTTTCCATTTTCTGAATGCCGTGTAACTTCCGAAGCTTTGAGCAGGTATTACGACATCACGGTGGGATCTGGGCTCAAGGCTGTTAAGGGATCCCGTGTCGCAGTATGTACCTTTATTATGCTAGCTGTTCAGTCAACTTATATATTTGTAGAGCTCGAGCCATGTCACAATAGAATAGTTAACTGACATTTGCATATGCTGATTTGCACTGCAAATCAAGTAATCGCGAGCAATGCCATCATGAGAGTGAATAATCCAACGAGCTTGATACCTCATGAAACGAGACAATTTTGATTTGTGTAAAAAAAAAATCTTAATTCGAACCTGTAATGCTATATCAGAAGGTGACATTTTTTCTTCAGAAAATCTGATGTTTTTCAGTTGTGTATATGTTTTTTCAACAAGCATCCAGATACCTCCCTTTTGCTTTTTCCTTCTGTTGTATTAATTCATTTTGGAAGTCACGCAAAATAATGTCTTATATTTAGGCATGTATGCATATAGTATTTTATATATATTGTAACTACACTATCAGGCTGAGTATTAAGAACCACAGTCAGTTACGTAAGCATGGAACAGGTAACTTCCTGCTGAAAAATGTAAATCTGCAAGACTAGCCTAAGAGGAAGCCTTTAATTTGAGATTAGTCTTCAGTTCCATGATATGTAAAAACAATGAACCATCAATTTATATGCTAGCAGATGAATGTCCAAAAGCTCACTTCCAATTTTTCAAGTATAGTGATCTATTATCATCTTACTGCAGGTACATTATGTGGCCAAGTGGAAGGGCATAACATTCATGACAAGCAGGCAGGGTCTCGGTGTTGGTGGCGGAACGGTATTACTTTGACATTACTGCCTCTTTTTGTGTATAGTAGTATGCTAACAGCTGTGTATTAGATAAGTTCCTTCTTCCCACTTCCTTCTTATTTCAAAACAATACCTCTGCACATCATTTTGTGGTTAGAATGTGTGTTGTTTGAATTTTCACATGTTGAAATCTCTCGATAGTTTCCCAATGTCGTATTAATAGAGCGGTTATAGTTTCAAATATGTTCACCCTAGACTTCTTGTCTTTTACATATTTTACATGATTTGCAGCCATATGGGTTTGATATTGGCAATTCTGAAAGAGGCAATGTTCTAAAGGGATTGGATCTTGGGGTTGAGGGAATGAAGGTTGGAGGCCAGGTCAGCTAATGCTATGATTTTCTTTTGGTTTTGTCCGGTGATATTTTCTCTCAAGATAGCTTTGATTAAAAGAAAAATAAGACCTGTACCCAACAAAACTGAGGATGTCTAAGTTTTCTATCATACATTATAATAGCAAAGAATAGTATTGATGATTGTGTTAGATCTTAATTGATGATAATGATATATCACATATGTTAAGTTCCTTGGGTCATTTCAATCTGAATTGATATGCTGTGGACATTTTCTTGTTCTTCAGTCTGATTTGATATCAAAATTTTCAGAGGTTGATCATAGTTCCTCCTGAGCTGGCTTATGGGAAGAAGGGCGTTCAGGAAATTCCTCCAAATGCAACTATTGAGGTCGATTGTCATTTGCTTCCTTGTCATTTACACTGATATGCTCAACTTTGTTGTTTTTGTTTTTCTTTTTTCCATGTCATTGTTACATGTTCCTTCCTCTGTTGTCAACAGCTGGACGTTGAACTACTATCAGTTAAACAGAATTCATATGGGTAGGCATAACTATTTTTAATTCATCTTTTTACCTCCTGCATTATGCTAACGAATAATGTGTTTCACAGGACTCCTGTGAAGATCATTGAAGGATAGATGTGCATAGACTTCTGCAGTAAGTAGTATATAACATACGTGATTTGGACATGCCGTTTCAACAGCTGGAGAAATAAAGGGCTAGATGTATCTAAATTCATTGGTGGCGCTGCATAGATAAGTGCATGATCATGTAAGGATTTGAACTGAGTTGAAATATAGACTTGCCAGATTCTCTCTTGAATATATAGGATTTTTTTTTGGATTACATTCTTTTCAATTTCATGAAGATTCTTTGCTGGTCAGTTAAGTTCACTTGCTAGGTTCCAATATATGATTTTTAATTCTGGTGTTTGAGAGAGTTTATACATGCATTTGTCAAAAGAAGAAATAATAATGCAACATAAAGTGTAAACCAGAAGTGAGGAAGTGTTCATCTAGGATTATCCCTCTAGGAAACCCTGGTTACCTGGTACTTTGATCTGCCTTTTGGTACCTAGATGCTTTTTCGTCTATTTTATTACTGTTGCTTGCCTACAATTCTCAGCCAATAACCACATCTCTGGAAAGGTATCTACTATCTACCATATAATTTCCTGTCTTAAGTTACAGAATGTGGATCAGTTATAATTTTCCTATATTTTATAGGAAGCACCTTTTAACTACTAGAAAAGGTATCAAGTTGCCAGCAGTATGACCCTGGATAACATTTATATGAGAGAAGCCCTTTGCATCCTGTGCATGCAAAGATTATGCTTTATTCTCATAATCAAGAAATAGGATAATACTAATCTTGCCTTGCAAGACAGATGAATCACAACTTACAAGTTACAAAACCTCAGGCTATACTTTAACAACGAGAGGTCTTGTGTGAAACAAAATCAAACAATGATAATGAAGAACCCAGACTTTGTGTGGCCTTGATCAAAGATGTTGGCAAGAAAACTGTTAGAGAACTGGAGAGATTTAGCATAGTTTAGACCTGAAGGCAAAGCAAGGTAGGAACGCCCTGTGGGGCAGTGGATATACTAAATGGCTTGTTTCATGGAGACTAAAGGAATGATGAGATCTTCTAAATGGAAAGTAAGAGAGCAGAGGGCATCAAGAATCTCCTTCTGAAAATATTATTTCCTTTAACCTTTCCCCTTGCTGGTTCTTTTATCTTTGACCTCATAACAGATAGGGCAAACAGAGACAGTGATATAGACCTGTCTGATAGCCCAACCGAATTGGATCCATCATACGGATCAAGTTCAATTCGCGAGGAAGAGGAAGAAGAAATGGATTCAATTCATCGTGCGCCGCGAAAACTAGTGCAAACAGAGAATCCCTGCAGCACAGGTAGGATTGTGAGCAGTGAATTTTCACATACCGAAGAAATCATGGTGGCGCAGGCCTCCGATAGTTCATCAGAAGTTTCAGTCAATAGAGTTCAAGATGATCAGAGAATGATGATGGAAGACGTCAACAGCTTGAAGCGCATGGTGTCCGCCCTCGAAGAGCAGGCTGCGAGCATCGAATCGCAGTTCCATGACTACTGCGACATGAAGGAGCAGGAATCAACATACCAGAAGATGCAGATCATGTGCCTGGGGATGAAGCTGGAGCAGCTGGAGTCTCAGAACCAGAGGCTGGAAGCAGCTGCTGCGGAGATCCGCGCATCTGCTGAAGAGTTCGCGACGATGCGAGCTAGGTTCGATGCGATGCAGAGCAAGTCCAAGAAGATCTGGAAGAAGAACAAGCAAGACCTGGACGCCATTGATGAAAGAGTCCTGGCTCTTGATGCCAGGGAGGCAGAAATGGCAACAAGGTGCCAGGGCTTTGAGCAGTTCATGGAGGAGATGAAGCAGCTCACTTTGCAGCTGCAGAAGGAGAAAGGAACAAACAATGAGGTAAACAAATCTATCAAATCATCTGATTACACAACCTCATTTGTCTCATTTCATTTTGCAATTGCAGTTGAATTTGAACAGAAATGAGCACTGTGAAATCAAATCAAAATCAATTGATTAATTTTGCTGGTGCAGAATGTGGAGGTGATTGTGGAGAGAAGCATGAGAAAGCTGGGGTCGAGCGGCAGGGACGTTCTTGACGGGCTGGAGGCGCTCCGGGACCGGTGGGCGGCCGACATGGAGGAGATGATCTACCTCGGCTGGATCACGGCGTGGCTGCAGCACGACCTCCTCGTCCTCGACGGCGGCGAGGTCGGCACGCCGGCGGCGATCATCGGCGACGAGACACCGGCGCAGCCGCGGCACAAGGGGGAGAAGGTGGTGGTCGCGGTGGCGCCGAGCAACGAGGTGGAGCTCTGCAAGGCGGCGTCGGCGTCATCGAGCTCGTCGTCGGAGATGCGCGGCGCGGCGGAGCCGTCGTGCATGATGGGGTTCGTCGCCGGCGGGTGCACGAGCATCGGACGGCCCAGATTGCTCCGCAGGCTGAGGGGGTGGGCCGGTGGGAAGGGCGGGAGCAGCAGGAGGCAGTGCAAGATCGAATTCCCAACTAGTCCGATGTAATCCGTTCAAATTTAATTCGAATTTATTTAATTTGTTACTTGTGATGAGGTGAAAAAAAAGTTCAAATTTGTATGTGTTTCAATTGAAAAAATCAGCAGTCTTCGGACTGTTCTCGGATGAACACGTTGTACGTACTTGAGTAAATTGTGTTGTGTTGAGAAGGAAGTTAACATTCATGGTCAAGATTTGTCTTGCTTGTGAGCAGTGAATCTCGTGTATGTACACTAGTACTAAACTACCTTGGATGACAGTTTTGTTTATGTATGGGAAAAAATGAAGGCGTTAAGACTCTCCTGCCCTAACTTGTAATATCGATTTACTTAGTCTTAAAAAAAACTATCTGTAAAAAATTTAAACCCCTTACAAATATTTCATTTATAGTTAAATAAACTAAATGGTCTATAAGTAGTGACAACAGTACTACGAAGACTCGCTTTCAATATGTTAGGTTAAATCTTGCAACGAGCGCACCGTCATGTTTAGTTTAGTTTGTAACAAATTTGGTTTGCACCGAAATCTAGAAATTGATCACTTCAATTGTAGATTTTAGTATTGAGCGAAAGATTATGCCTGTTGAGAATAAACTAGTGACTCATTGACAGTGGCTTTGTAAATGCTAGGTAGTCAAGACCGCGGAGAGAATAACTAATGAAAGTATATAATTAGTAAGCTCACTTCAGCATTAGCCGTCGAGATGTCAAATATATATCACCTGCCAACAGAAAAAAAATATTTCATCATAATTAAAAGTTGGGTCTAGAACTTGATGGCTATGGTTATTATTATGGTTTAATTTTTCGGTTTGGCTAATTCTATTGGAGGCTACCAATACATCGAAATTTCCGAAATTGCGGAAATTTCAAACAAATGTTGGTTAGATTTTAAAAACATATTACCAAATTTATAAAAATTTAAAAATAAAAAATTCAGTTGAAATAATATCGTATCGGGGTTCCGAAATGACCAAAATTTCACTCCGGAGTTTCAAGCCCTTATTATAGTAGTACTTAGCAGCATGGGTGGAAACTCAAAACCAGGTCGACACACATATTGTATATGCTCGTATAGAACTACCGGTATAGGTAAAAATACTTATTCCAAAATATATGTATTCTATGATGTTTGATCATTCGGCTTATTAAAAAATATATAAATATTATTTATTTTGTTATAATTTATTATAAAAATTATAATCTTAACTTATACTTTTAGATATTTATACTAAACAGTCAAATAAAATGAATAGTTAAACGTTGTGCTAAAAAGTTAACGATGTCAGGTACTCCCTCCATCCCATTTTAAATGTAGCCATATATTTTCGTGCTAAACTTTGATCGTTTGTCTTATTTAAAATTTTTTTAAACAATTAAAAAACATAAACCACGCATAAAGTATTATTCATATTTTATCATATCATAACAACAAAAATACTAATTATAAAAAAATTTCAAATAAAACAGACAATTAAAATTAGGTACGGAAACTTATGGCTACACTTAAAATAGGAATGAGCGAGTAACTTATGGTTACACTTAAAATGAGAATGAGCGAGTAACTTATGGTAACACTTAAAATAGGAATGAGCTAAAATGGGAATGAGCGAGTAGTATTTTAAAAGCCAAAGAAAAAGTAATATATATTATTTTCTACTTTTAGGATAAAAAAAATCCTCGTGAATGTCCTGCAAGTATGGAGCAGCAGCAAGCATTGAACTACCCATCCGCGTAACTCCGAGACGATAGTCGATATGGAGGCGTTGAGCGCGCATTGAATCACCACAAGTCGATCGCCCACGCGTCGTCCCCACCGGCACGGCGGCGCCACCGCACGCCGCCGCGTGTCACCCCACCGGCGTCCGACTCAGATCGATCACAACCACCAGCCAAGCAGTCTGCCGTCGGCGCTGCATACCACCGCATCTCACAATGGAGGGCCACTCTTCTTCTTGAAGACTTTGAACCTTTTTTTTAAAAAAAAAAAACACTAGTTTTGATCGTCCCTCTTATTTAAAAAATTTGTAAAAAAATTAAAAAAAATAGTATATTCATGATTTATCATCTATTATCAATAAAAATACTAATAATAAAATTTTTTAAATAAGATGAACAATCAAACGTTAGAAATGAATAGTGCAAAACTGCACTTATTTAGGACAGAGGGAGTGAGTACATGATTACATCCTGTATTGTTTATTGGGATATAAATTTACAATTTAGTTTTAATCATACCGGTTTTTCATGAGGGAAGGTTTTTCTTAAGAAGGGGAAAGAGCGGTTTTTCTAAGGAGATTTTTAAAATAGTTGTTGAAAAAATTAAGAGGTTAGTACTTCTTCTGTCCTTAAAAGTAAACTTAGTATAAAATATGACACATTTTAATACTAAATAAAATGTGATACATTCTATATTTTCCAAATTCGTAGTATGTCGCATTTCATATTAAATATGTTGTTTAATGGAACGAAGGGATTATGAAAATAAGGGAGAACGATATGGGCCTAACTGCGAAAGCTTCCATATTGACCGGGCTGACCCTTAAACTATTGAGCTCACTCACACCGTATCAGGTGGGGCCCACCCAAGCTTCTAGCTAGTACTTCTACCATTCTTCGTCGTATTCGTCACCAAATCCAGCTCGATCGCTGCTCACCTCGCACGCATCCTTTTCTTCTCATCCATGGCAACCTCCTCAACCCAGCATTAATTCCAGCACAAATCCTCTCATGGATATGTGCTAACCAACCTTGCACAAACAAGGCAGATCGAGCTAGCTCATCCCTGCAGCTTAGCTTAGCTAGCTAACCTTTACCTTGCCATGGATTGATCGATCATTAATTCTTCTTCTTCTTGCTCGATCGTCGCCATGAGAGCCAGCTCCTTCTCCTCCTTGATGCTGCCTTGCTCGCATGGCCATGGCGGCGGCAGGGCCACCGCCTCGACGTGCGCCGCGGCGGCGGCGGCGTGCCTTGCGCTTGTGGCCTTGGTGATCTTGGTGGTTTCAATGGATCCGAGGGCACAAGCTTCTTCTTGGTTCTTCCTTTCTTCTTCTTCTTCGTCTTCGTCTTCGTCTTCGTCTACCTTGGTTCGTCCTGCAGCTAGCTCTCACGCTGCCTCCTTGCGTAAGCCGAGTTCTTGGGGCGGCGGCAATGGCGGCGGCGGCGGCGGCGAGCACCTCCTGGTCACCTCTAGTAGCTTTGGTAGTGGTGGTGGCGCTCGTGGAAGCTGGAGCCGGAACAGCACGAGCAAGGAGGTGCTGTTTCAGGGAGGAGGCGGCGGCGGCGGTGATGAGATGACGTCGACGGCGGCGGCGCCAACGCCGGCGTTGATCATCGGTTCTAGCTCCGGCGATGGCGTGTCGCCGTCTCGCGTGGCCGTCACGGCGGCGGCAGCTGAACCTACACCGGCACTGGCTCCGGCTCCTGCTCCGGTATGCGCGTCCGTATCTTTTTTCTTTAAAAGATAATAGAAATGTATTAAGCACACACAACTAATTACTAAAATAATTGGCTGTAGCTCTGTAAGCAAAGACCGAGATTCTATTCCATTATTTTAAAAAAACTAATTACTGAAATAAAACAAAAAAGTGGTGGGACAAATCCTCGGCTACCCTTGTAAGAAATGAAAACAGCTGACATGCTAAAAGAATCACACAGATTCTAATAATCAAGCCGATATATGTTATGCTGATATCAGTATGTATCCATGCTCTATTTGTTTCATATTCGTTTTTTTTGGGGTATATTGTTGCTGTGAAATCGTGTAATTCGACGTGTTAGTGAAAACGCGAATGTACGTTATTCCTTCTGTTCTATGATTTTCAGGCTTTGTTTCTGTGATAATCATTTAATATGAGCACACATGTTTGGATTTTTCATGCAAAGTAATCTCATATACAAAATTTTTGTTACGAAATTCGGATATCCAATATGGGTAATTAAGTCAGTTAGAATCATACTATCACTGACGTGCACTAAATATAGCTATACCATTTTGTACGGTAGCACAGTTCAATTCTGCAAATATATAGTAGTTAATATGGATCATATAACAAATGTAGTCTGTGGACCAAATATACTAAATTAATAAAATGGGATATTCTTTTTTTATTAAGAGAGGAAAAGACAACCAGAGATGCATGTTCTTATCTTGGCACAGAGAAAAGATTAAGTTGCAAGGAAGCCATATTCTGCACTCTCATTCTCATGGGCTTGACATGTGTGCACAAAGTTTTTGGATCTTCCCTATACTTTCAGTCTCAGAGTGAGAGGGGACCGCAGAAGGAATAGACCTGTACATGTTTGCACTCTGCACTTAGAATTGGAAACATGATTACCAAAGAGTTTTATCTGAAGAAAAGTTACATTTACAAAATTATCGCAGGCTTTGCGAATTTATGGACCAAATGAGCATGTTTACATTTACAAAAATACCCGAGGTATTTTTATCTGAAGAACATTTGGGTTCAGCATTTGTGTTCTTATTAACGATTGTGTCGTGTTTTGTCCGCAGAATGTGATTAACCTACCAACAGAGTTTTTCAGCTTTCTATTGGGCCTTTATGTTTGGGTGCCTTTCTTGAACTGAATTTTTGTGTGTGGTAGGAATGGGGTGTTGGTGATGCTGCTAGTGGAGATGATATTATTCAAGTAATGCCGCAAGCGCAAAGGCGAAGGGATGTGAAATTGGAGCTATTAGAACTCGGTCTTGCTAAAGCTCGGGCGACGATAAGGGAAGCCATCCAAAACAAGGATAACAAGCCCCCATTGACAGACAAAGATTATGTGCCAGTTGGGCCAGTGTACAGAAATGCCTATGCATTTCACAGGTACCAAACAACTCTTAAGTATCAAATTGCTTTGACTTGTGTGAAGTACATGTAGTTCTTCAGGGAGAGAACATGTTAAACACTTGGATTTGTGAAATGTCACCTGTTGTGATCCTTTTTTTTTTTTGGCTATGCTGGCAGGAGCTACTTGGAAATGGAGAAGGTTTTCAAGGTCTTCGTCTACGAAGAAGGCGAGCCACCGGTGTTCCACGATGGGCCGTGTCGCAGCATATACTCGACGGAAGGCAGGTTCATATATGCCATGGAGATGGAGAACCGGATGCGCACGAGAGACCCGGACCAGGCCCATGTCTTCTTCCTTCCATTCAGCGTCGTCAAGATGGTGAAGATGATCTACGAGCCGAACTCGCACGACATGGATCCGTTGCGGCGGACCATCTCGGACTACATCAACGTGGTGTCGACCAAGTATCCACACTGGAACCGGAGCCTTGGGGCTGACCACTTCATGCTCTCATGCCATGATTGGGTAAGCAACTACAGAACTAAATTGTTAGTACGAATCTGGACAGATACCATCTGGACAGGGGGCCTGTCCAAATTAATGGTCGGTACAGATGAACCATGTCTAGATTCGTGGTACTAGGATATGTGTTATTCATCATTTGTTACTATATTACTATATTTTGAAATGGAGGTAGTATCAATCAACTTCTGTGATACTTCAAAAGTAATTGGGATCAATCAGTTGAGTTACCATTTCAAGGATTATCATACACATATTGGGTAGCAGTGGTACTACATTATGTCCAACTTCATGGTTTTCCTTATTTGGTTGACACGTCAGCATGGATGGTTTTGTGGCAGGGGCCGTATGTCTCCTCGGCGAACGGTCATCTCTTTTCCAACTCCATCAGGGTGCTCTGCAATGCCAACACATCGGAGGGGTTCGACCCGTCAAGAGACGTGTCCCTGCCGGAGATCAACCTGCGGAGCGATGTCGTGGACCGCCAGGTGGGCGGGCCATCGGCATCGCACCGTCCCATCCTGGCCTTCTTTGCTGGTGGTGACCATGGCCCCGTCCGCCCCCTGCTATTACAACACTGGGGGAAAGGGCAGGACGCCGACATACAGGTTAGTGAGTACCTGCCTCGCCGCCACGGCATGTCGTACACCGACATGATGCGGCGGAGCAGGTTCTGCCTGTGCCCAAGCGGGTACGAGGTGGCAAGCCCCCGGGTGGTGGAGGCCATCTACCTGGAGTGTGTCCCCGTGGTGATCGGCGACGACTACACGCTACCGTTCGCTGACGTGCTCAACTGGGCGGCGTTCTCGGTGCGCGTGGCGGTGGGCGACATCCCGCGGCTGAAGGAGATCCTCGCCGCCGTGTCGCCGCGGCAGTACATACGGATGCAGCGGCGGGTACGCGCCGTGCGCCGCCACTTCATGGTGAGCGACGGCGCGCCGCGGCGGTTCGACGTGTTCCACATGATCCTCCACTCCATCTGGCTCAGGAGGCTCAACGTCAGGGTCATTGCACGGGAGGACTGAACCAAATATTCTGTGATCGGTCGGTTGCTTGCTTCTAGTTTCTCTCAACTTGTGTGAGAGCTCGTTCGAATGTTTGATGTGTGTATATTTTGGTTAAACTCTGAAATTGCATTTTTGTAAAGAGGATGTTCATGGAGCGACGTTGTGCAGTTTGTGCACCGTGTACAAATGTTTTAAAGAAAGTGCCACTGTGCCAGGAATTATCTATGCTGGTGAATTCGGGCAGTAACCCACTGGGAGTAACTCTCTGCACAAAGCACCAAATGGGGTTCCGTTGGATTCTATGGAAAGTAGAAACAATGAGCTTTTCAACTGTATGTAATATGCGAATTTGCTATATATACGTCTGCTTAAAAAAGTAACAGTTCTTGAACAAATCACGTGAATTTGCTTTTAAAACATCGCACGGTTTTTTAACCTTTGATTTTTGTCTTAAATTTGATTTTTGACCGATGAAACTGTCAGATTGGACCTAGTTTTAATGAGTACTTTAAAAATCACTCGTTCACTCACGTCGAGGCTATGTTTGAGATCTCAAAACGTGATAAATCATTAGTGGATGACTAATTAAGTTTTAATTATTATAAACTTGAAAATAATTTATTTAATATTTTAGAGCAACTTATATATTGAAAGTTTCCGTCCAAATCGCACCTTTTAACCGTTTGAAAAACATACAAACGAAAAATAATCTATATCTTAATCAGGAAGAAAGAGTACGAAATGGTGAACCGTCGAAACTATTCATATACGTCGTCTGTCTCATGAAAAAAAAAATCAATCCAGAAGGATACGAGACACTTTTACTTCAACAAATATAGACATGAGCTTATTCTACTAGGTTTGGTTGTTTAATAAGACGAAAGAAATACATTGGTTAGTTTTTCATTAAAAAATAATCGTTTGACTGACATAAACCTAGGAAATACTGGATTAAGATAGATCAGTAGGATTAAGATCCACTGATGTAATTTCCCACTGATTTGGTGGCTGACATGTGGACCTGAGAGTTGTGTGGGCTCACATGTCAAATCACGGTGAACAGTACGTCACGATATGTTAGAGGATCCTCTTCCGGAGATACTTATACGAATTTTGCGGAAACCTGCAAACTTTGATGGACGATTGAGGCGAGTTTAGTTCTAAATTTTTTCTTCAAACTTCTAACTTTTTCATCACATCGTTTCAATTTCAATCAAACTTCCAATGTTGACGTGAACTAAACACACCTATGAGATATGAGAAGCGGGTTGACACTTGACAAGTCCTGACATGCTGTGTTGGCGTGGGCCCCACCTGCCACGTCAGGTCCAGCTCCGGGTGGTTGGGTTTGGTGCTTTCCGATAGGCACGAGCTCGCCGCCGCCTCCTCCTACTCTACCGGTGGGTCCCGCCGGCGCCGGCGCACGGGGGATACAAATAGGACACGTCACGGCACAGGTCAGCCACGCCTCCCCTTCCCCCCCATTCTACTCCACCACTCCACTCCCCAATCCAACCACCCCCCGAACAACCGGAGAAGAGAGGCTGCACTCCACTCGCCGCCGGCGACCGATGCTCCGCGCCGCCCTCCTCCGCTCAGGTAGGTCGCCGCCGCCTCCTCCTCCTCCTCCTCCCTTCTCCGCGGCGACTCCTCTGACCCTTCTCGGCCCCGCCTCCCCACGCAGGCTCCGGCCTCCGCCGGCCTCCCATGGCCGCGCCGCTCTCCACCGCCGCCGCCGCCTCGTGGCTCTCCGACAGCGCCTCGTCTCCGGTAAGCACCCGCGCGCGGCTCATCCATTCCCAATTTCCCATCCGTGTGAAGTGTGATTGACCTCTCTCTCTCTCTCACTCTCCCGGCGCAGCCTAGGGTGCGCCTCCTCATCGGCGGGGAGTTCGTCGAGTCGCGGGCCGACGAGCACGTCGACGTCACCAATCCGGTAAAGCCCGCCGTGAGCCTCCCCACGATCGATCGATTTGGGAGGTGTGGTGTGGGGGCATGTGACAGTGATTCTCTGGGTGTGCGCAGGCGACGCAGGAGGTGGTGTCGCGGATCCCGCTCACCACCGCCGACGAGTTCAGGGCCGCCGTGGACGCCGCCAGGACCGCCTTCCCCGGGTGGCGGAACACGCCGGTGACCACGCGGCAGCGCATCATGCTCAAGTACCAGGAGCTCATCCGGGCCAACATGGTAATTAGTTGATAGATGGATTGACCTTCCTTCCATCGTTGGGGGATTGGAGAGCTAGAAGCTTCACTCGATGATGTGGTTGGATCATGTTATAGTGATTCTGTTCTTTTTTTGTGATGTCAGGATAAACTGGCAGAGAACATTACAACCGAACAGGGGAAGACACTGAAGGATGCTTGGGGCGATGTATTCCGTGGGCTAGGTTGGTTTTCAGACCCTTATAGTACCTGGTTTCACTGCTTCATTAGATAGTGATAATCTCAGCATTTCAAATCTATGAGTAGTCGTTATGTTCTTTCAATCTACTAATCTTAATCTATGGCTTGATTCAAATGAGATGATATTTGTTTGCAAGGAATATTTCTTATACTGGATGTTTGACACGCTGGTTGCAAGATCTGATTAACTCCTGGTTTTGTAGAGGTGGTGGAACATGCTTGTGGAATGGGGACACTGCAGATGGGTGAATATGTATCAAATGTTTCTAACGGGATTGACACCTTTAGCATTAGGGAGCCACTTGGTGTATGTGCTGGAATATGTCCATTCAATTTTCCAGCTATGATCCCCCTATGGGTACGCACAACTTCACTTCTTAATATCAAAATTTGTTATTATTACGACTCTTAGCCCAATTATCAATATACCATGCAATACATCTTACTTTAGTCAACACGCCATGATTTGATCGTTTCATTTGTTTCTTCTTTCCGTTTGGCTGCAGATGTTCCCAATAGCGGTCACTTGTGGCAATACTTTTGTTCTAAAGCCATCAGAAAAAGATCCAGGTGCTTTGCTTTATCATCATTTTTTTACCCAGTTTATTCACTACACCCGCTGTTGTTGCATTGACGACAATTTAAAGCCAGATAAAAATATATGGTTAAATGCTTATCTGATATTACAGAGCGGGTTAACCAAGCTGTACTTTTCTCCACAACATATAAGATCATTGATTCTATGTATTCACTATATACATATCCATTTGGTACTATAACTTTGGGGGTGTGTTTTTACTATAACATATGGTGAAGTTAAACATTTGGTGCACAGTTATCTACCCAAATTGGACATTTCCACTACCTACTGCTATAAAAAAACCAGCAGTAAGTTTTAACTCTTTGGAGGTAGTAGCAAGACAACCTTTTACAATTCCATTGAGATATTAATAAAAACAGATTACATGTTGCTTTACAATCTTTGTGTACATGGCAAGGACTTAAGATGGAGTGAAAATATGACATGTTTTTGTGAACTGGCACTAGTAGTATTTCTAAGGCATGAAAAAGATATATTATAAAGTAGCAATTGTTGTTCATGTCCTTGAAGAGGCTGTAATCTTAGTCTAGTAGAACAAAAGAAGGCACATGACATGTTCCTGTTAGTAATGTGATGGCATACTTTGTAATTATTGGTTACTACTTCAGGGGCTGCTATGATGCTTGCGGAGCTAGCAATGGAGGCTGGTTTACCAAAGGGTGTGTTGAACATTGTTCATGGTACCCATGTACGGTAACCTTGGTTACTCTTCGTCCTTCCTTTTTTTTTTTCCATTTTTTGAGCTCGATACTAGATTAAATAATTTATTTGTTGTGCCTGTTGGTGCCAAGTGTTGCTACAGCACAAATAGATATTCGATGATTGATATTTTCTGGCTAACATGACAATAATTTTACTCTTTCTTGGAACACTGGCAAAAAAAAAAAGTTGCCTTGAAACTTCACCTTACCATGCTTAGCTCTGTAGGGATTGTTTGGTCTTCATGGTTATATGATGCTATTTTTACTGCTAAACATTCATGAATCTGTTCATCTTTAGCCGCCACACTTGCTAAGCTGCTTTCTGATTCTACCTTACTATTTCAGGATGTTGTGAACAACATTTGTGATGACGAGGACATCAAGGCAGTTTCCTTTGTTGGTTCCAATATAGTAAGCGGATCCAAATGATCTGTCTATTTCTCGATTTGTGGTACCATTTTTGCATCAATCATCTGTCTATTTTGCTCTGCATAATACTTTGCAAATCTGGTATTCATCCTATTCTGTTTCAGTCTTTAGGTCATTAACTTGGCATCTAGGCCATTGCATTATCACACACTTCTACATGTTTGAGATCTTTTCAATCTTGTATTCTTATGTTGTCATAATGGTTCAAATTCTGATTATGATCTAACTTATAAAAATTATAAATTTACCAGTTACCATGATGGTGATAAACTGATAATAAACATGTATACACAGCATGAGGATGTTTTCATGATGTTAGGACATTCGGTTGTAAAATTTACTTGTAAACAATTATGTTAGATCCGTATAGCACATGTCACATTACACTCATGATACCTGAATCATTCTTTATTTTATTTTTGCCCAAAGCTAGTCATTTGTTTCAGCAGATGATATAATTATGATCTCTCTCTCACTCTCAGGCTGGTATGCATATATATTCTAGAGCATCGGCAAAGGGGAAGCGTGTTCAGGTTAGTTTGCACCTGTTCCTGACATGCAGAACCTTTCCTTCGAAAACTTCTGCCTGGTGTGCTGTAAGCAGCATGTTACAGAATGCCTTTTTGTTTATTTTCAGTCTAATATGGGTGCAAAGAATCATGCAATTATCCTTCCTGATGCTGACCGAGATGCCACACTGAATGCCCTTATTGCTGCTGGTTTTGGTGCTGCTGGGCAAAGGTGTATGGCATTGAGCACTGCTGTTTTTGTTGGAGGTTCAGAGCCATGGTATATACTTCTGTCCTGTTTGTTTCTTCAGGATAAGACCTGGCATTAGGTAATGAAGTATAAAAATAACCATTTGTCTTGTAGGGAGGATGAGCTAGTCAAACGTGCAAGCAGCCTTGTGGTTAATTCAGGAATGGCTAGTGATGCAGACCTTGGTCCAGTGATCAGCAAACAGGTAAACCATCTGCTTTTTTACCAACGAAAAGGTTGTTGACCTGATTTTAAGTAACCTAAATATGAAGTGGAATCCTACTTGTACTTCCCTGTTACTTGGAACACTGAACTGGATTTGTGCTCCCCCCCCCCCCCCCAAAAAAAAAAAAACTTGAATGGTCCTCTAATCGTGTATACACATTGAAATCATCTAGTTCAGATATTATTTTGGTACCTAAACTTATCCTAATGTGGACTTCTCTTGGTACTTATGTAGGATAGGTTATGAACATTTATCCTTTTATGCCATGATTTCTATGTTGACTCAACACGTGAACTTAACATCCCCAGATTTCAAGAGTGTTAACATTACATAGCCAAGTAATGACTTGTAAAGTTTCTGTATTTTTTGATCTCGTCTGTTCATGAATGAACCTGTTGTGTTGAGATTGATTACAGTTTAGCGATAGTGATAGTGCATGAAATTGCATTTGAAATTCAAAAAAGGCTACTTCTGTTTTTTTTTGGTTCTGATGAGACTGTTGGTATGTGGTATATATTTTCTGGAAATATATATTACCTTTTGGGGCTTGGCTGCGAGTATTATTAGCTTCAGATTCATAATGATTGTGGCTACTACATTGGTTACGCTCACAGTTTTTATGCTATTTTCTTGTAAATATAAATTTATAACATTTTCTACCTTGTCATTTCTGTTTTCCTTTTTCTCAATATATCCTGTCTTAACAGTTTACTATCAACAGGCTAAGGAACGTATCTGCAAATTAATACAAAGTGGTGCTGATAATGGTGCTCGTGTGCTGCTTGATGGAAGAGATATTGTGGTAATTTTAGTTCAGTTGTTTCCTTGCCTGCAGTTCTCCCCTGGTTCTTATGCAGCAATGCATAATAGTGCTAAACTGTGCTAAATTTTGCAGGTTCCTAACTTCGAGAATGGTAATTTTGTTGGTCCAACACTCCTTGCTGATGTTAAAAGTGAAATGGAATGTTACAAGGTATTATTCTGAAATTTGTCATTTTAAACTCTGCATTAGGACTGATGTTTCTTGTTTGAAGAGCCATGAAAGGAAGGAAGGTTGCATTATTAGCCTCCTGCAAAGCTATTTGTTGGATTAGTGCTGTCTGTGTTCTAAAAATTAAAACATGGAATGCATTTAAGGATATATTATTTTCTAATTGAAGTGCTAACTGTGGACCTATTTGATACTCCCTCCGTCCCAAAATATAAGCATTTTTAGACTCTGATACGATCTTTGATATGCTACTTTGACCAACAATATCTGTGAAAGTAAGATGTTTTAAATAAAAGGAGTTACATATTATGATAGATTGTTTAATGATAAATCTAGTAATATCAATTTTACATGATTGATTGTTTTTTTTTTGCTATTAATAGTCAAAGTTAAAAATGTTTGACTTGTTACTATGCTAAAAATGCTTATATTTTGGGACAGAGAGAGTATTAATTTATTTGGGACTATGATGTATCTTTCTTTTCAGGAGTGTATTTGACCTATGCTTTTTTAAAAGAATTATATGATTTTGTCTGGAGACCAATGTAATTAACAATCCAAAACAAGGAAATGGCAAAGCAGATAACTCGCCTATTGCATGGTATCAAATCTCAGTATTGCTCACTTTCCCATTTATAACTTGCAAGACACTGTTCTCCTCAAGTAGACATCCTTGTTGCAGTGGCCGACTTTTATTTGTTGTCCTATTGTTGTTTCTTCCTCCTAATGCCCCCTATGATCACGAGCTGAGACAATTGTCACAGATACCTAGTATAGCTGTACCAGTTTATGATTCATGAACATTGTCATATGTTGCAGTGACAGCCGTTGCATACTTAGAAGCCGCATATGCATTATATTTTAACTGAACTTTGCTAAATTGAAACAGGAGGAGATTTTTGGTCCAGTTCTTCTCTTGATGAAGGTATGTGAAAATTGTTTCCCTTGCTATGCACAATAAAAGATCTGTTACACTGCTGACCATTTTCTCTGTTACAGGCTGAGAGCCTAGATGATGCTATCCAAATTGTGAACAGAAACAAGTAATGCTTTATTGATTTATTCCTTCCATGTACTAGATAGTCCTGATTGAGCACATGTTGAAATTTTGAAAATCTTCCTACATTTCTTTGTGTGTCAGATATGGCAATGGAGCATCCATATTTACAACATCTGGTGTGTCTGCAAGGAAATTTCAAACAGACATTGAAGCTGGCCAGGTATTTTGTAGTCTCTTTCTTACAATACACTACATCTCTCCCACGTTCGAGAAATAAAAACGCGCGGACATTTCATGCATGCTAACTAGGCCTAGCTAGACAGGGCCTGAAAAACAGGTTTGGAGAAAATATGATAACTAAAGTAACTGAAATAAACCCAGATTTTTGCCATTTGCTAAATCAAATTCAAACACATATATAAAGTGAGAAGGGCCCCAAGCCCAGCTATAACTTGGAGCCTGAACTTTGAATTTGCATGAATTCTAAGTTAGCAGAAAGCAAATCTCCACTGGGCACTGATGCAATTGATAAATTTGTCGATATGAATTAACCTTCACAAGAACTTGGATTGTTCACAGTTTGTGGCTTCTCCCCTTTGCACTTCGCAGGTGGGCATCAACGTGCCGATTCCAGTACCCCTGCCGTTCTTCTCCTTCACCGGCAGCAAAGCCTCCTTTGCAGGAGACTTGAATTTCTACGGTAAGAGATCAACACTCTCGATCTAATCTCACTTTGATCCTTTCCCAACAATTGCAATGGGCTCAAAGCTATATCCAACTACGGCCGTATCGATCATCTGAAAAGAAACTCGCTCAATGAAACATTGCCGCGTGGCGTGCAGGCAAGGCGGGCGTGCAGTTCTTCACCCAGATCAAGACGGTCACGCAGCAGTGGAAGGAGTCGCCGGCTCAGCGCGTCTCCCTCTCCATGCCCACCTCGCAGAAGTGAGGTGAAAAAAAAGAAAGGCATCTTGTACGTTCTTCATTTGCCCATCCATGGAAATAGACACATGCACCAATGCGAAATGAACAGAAGAATAATCGATAGGCGCGGGATGCCATGCCATGCCAATAAAGGTAGCTGGTCTCGTATTTGCATATGCCTCATTTCAAGCATTTGCGAAATGAGGTTATCTAGATTTGTATGGCTCATTTCAAGCATTTGCGAAATTGCATTATCTAGTATTTTGGTTGAGGGGAGGGGGGGGGGGATATATCGTCGAGTACTGGTTGGAAAGACACTCAACCAAACGTATATGTAGAGTAAGTTGGGAGAAATAGAAGGGGATATGATAGAGGAGAGAGGACAAGAGGGCACGGAACTAGGGGTGGAAACGAGCCAGCTCGTGAAAGCTTGGTCAAGAATAGGCTCGGCTCGGCTCGGCTTGATAAATGGAACGAGCAAAAAGTGTAGCTCGGCTTGGCTCGTTTAAAAGCTCGAGCCGGCTCGAGCCAGCTTGTGAGGGAGGCCGAGCGGCACTAGGGAGGGAGGCTGGAGGCAGCATAGGGAAGGGAGGCGGCGCCGCGGCGGCACGGGGAGCGTCGAGCCGTCGACCGTCGAGCGCCGTTGGGGAGGGAGGCCGGAGCCGGTGCAGCCGCACAGGGGAGGGCGGCGGCGCAGGGGGAGGGAGGGATGTGGCGAGCCAGCGGCGCAGGGGAGGGAGGTGGCGAGCCGGTGGCATAGAGGGGTGACTGGGGACGGGGGAGGGAGGTGGCGCCGTGGCGGCACGAGGAGCGTCGAGCCGTCGAGCGCCGTTGGGGAGGGAGGCCGGAGCCGGCGCAGCCACAGGGGAGGGAGGCGGCGCAGGGGAGGGAGGGTGCAGCGGGCCGGCTGCGCAGGGGAGGGAGGCAGCTAGCCGGCGGCACAAAGGGGCGACTGGGGACGGGGGAGGGAGGCGGTGGGCCGGCGGCGCAGGGGATGGAGCCGGAGGCGGCGGCCGGCAACTCCTCTCGCCAATTGCCGCCAGACATCAGTCGTGCACGCGTGCGGTGGCGTGCTTGCGCCTGCGTGGGATGGGGAATGGGGAGGGTCGGAGCCCGCTGGGAAGGGGAGGGATCGGATCAGGCGCTCAGGCGCTTGGCTCAGCCGCTCATGGGCCTAGGGTTCTCTGTTTCATGGGCCATTGGGCTAGACAATTGTTAATGGGCTCAGGGACTCAGGTTTTCCACAGGCTCGACAAGCCTAGCGAGCAGCTTGCGAGCTAGCTCGGGCTCGGCTCGGTTTGGAAACGAGCTATGGAGGGAGCTCGGGCTCGGCTCGTTTAGTCCTCGAGCCGAGCTGAGCTTCGCGAGCTCACGAGCCCGAGCTTTTTGCCCACCCCTACACGGAACTGACTGCGCGGGTGCGGCCCCGTGCGGCTGATCACCGATCAGCCATCCCCTGGATGCTCAAGACTTAGCACAGCGACATTGCACGATACTCAACACTACACACTTCGCGTAAACTATTGGACTCTATCTAGTTTCAGACAGTTGTCTTTCTCCTTATCTTTTCCAGAGAATATATAATACTAGCAAAAATACATGTGTGTTGCAAAGATATTTTTTACTATTGATAAAAACCTCTGTCAATTTAAACAAAAAACCGAAACAAGGCACAAAACAGTGATAAAACAAAATCATATATCATTTAACTCGGTTGAGATCAATTAGTCTGATGACACGTGACGAATTCCTTGTATACACCTTTCCATACTCTCACAAACTGATTGAGTGGTTTTTTCATAAGTTAGCGCATGGTATTTTGCTAGATATTTCTAAAGAGATATTCTCATCAATCAAAGATTGGAATTTTGATTATTCGATTGGTGAAAGTTTTGTTTACTGTAGAGGAAAAGGATTTGAAAAGTAACAAGCCACCACATACATACCTTAAGCAACGATAATTTAAAAAGAAAAAATATTTATAAGGAGAGAAATTGGGAAAAGAACAAAAAAAAAGGAAAAAAAAGAAAAGAGAGGACATAAGAAGAAGAGGGAGATGATTGGGAGGAAAGAAAAGGAGAAAAAGAAAACGGAAAAAAATGGAGAGAAAAAAAAGACGCCGATCGGGAGAGAAGGGGCGTTTGTGGGCGGGGTGGTATGATTGTGTGGGTTGGTTGGGCTGGGCTGGGCTCTGGGAGGGGGAAGGATTGGGCTTAGGAGCCTGTATAATAGTTTGTGTCATATCCTCTATCTGGAAGAACATTTTTATTGCATGCCTAAAGGTACTCAACTGACAGCTGATTGTGTGTTGTGAACAAATACTTCTCAATGATCTTCCTGCTTCTGAAATAGCAAATGATCGTGACAGAACATATACTAGTCATGTGTATTTTTTTCTGTATTTGTGTTGAAATTCGTACAGAAAATTGACATTGATCATATGTTGGCGAGAAATTTGAAACCTTGGAATAGCTGTTAAAACAATGTAATTAATGAGCACTAAAATGAGCGAGTGATAGCATTTATATATAGGTATGTATAAGCTGTTACAAGTGAACTGGAATATTACTACGTCTTAAGGACGCGCAGATTACACACATATATATATAGTAGTAATAAGGGATCGATGATCTTTTACTTTAATTAAGTAGACAGCTCAGCTAGCTAGCACCCACATCGATGACGGCCCTAGCTAAGCAAGCTATTATATAGTACTCAGCTCCTCTAGCTAGAATTCATTTAGGGATTTTGCAATCCTTGGTGTTAAGGATTAGATAGATGTTATCAGCAGCGGTCTCTGCGGTTGTAATCTTTGGAGACCCAAAGTCACGTACATTTTGGGCTTCCGGGATGGGATCCCATTTACGCGCAAGAGATGACTTTCCATTTGACGGTGAGATCACAGGCAACCTTGCCAACTTTGCCTCCCTCCGCTTCATCCCATACTGTAATGACGTCCGTACGAACAGGGACCAAGCGTACAGCCTCACAGATAATGAGGATGAATGTGGTCAATGCTTTCTTGATCTCCTCCTCCGGGACGGAACCATCCTTCTTGTACTTGGCTAGGGTCGCCACTGCTTCTTGGGCGGACTTCTTACCGACCACAATATCTTTCAGATTTGTGTAGCCCCCTTTGCCAGTGAGAGAGGTGTAGCTATCATCAAACCCGAGAGCAGTTGCCCTAGAGATCTGGTTATAGCTGTTCTTGAATGCGAACCACGATGCTGCTTGTGTCCTGAATCCGATAAGGTAAACATTATCGGGCCTGATGGCAAGCGTGGACTCTCCGTGGCCCTTGTTGATCACCTTCACGTGGATGAGACATTTTGGTTTTTACTTGTATGGGGGCAGCACAGGTCGCTTCTCTATTGCGGTCCTCACCGTCAGCTTGGCCAACTGCCGTTGCAGCTCGTACATGAATGACCTGTACCCACTCACCGACCGACTCACGTCCAGCTCCAGCTTCACAATTTCCTGATCGTCCTCTTTCTCCACCCATTGGGTCCTGAAATAATTAGATCCAACACGAAAAGTTAATTTAATTATTACTACTACTCTACCTACCTAACAATCTATACATTATATATATACACACATATATACATATATACATATATATATATATATACATATATATCGAAATTAATTCTCTCTCTATATATCGAAATTAATTAAGATTGGAGAGAGAGACATACTACTTTATTAGGACTAGCTAGTGACGGTGATGAAGTAGTACTTTCACGTTTTCGTGGTCGTCCAAATCCAAGTCCCGCTTCACATTTTTTTCCTCAGACAGCTCCACCCGCTGGGTCCTATAATAATTAGATCGAGAGGAAACATTAATTAAATACTCTACCTACATAAATTAATAATATGTATTTTGTACCAAAAAATATATAATCTATTTGTTTTATATATTATAAAGATAACTTGAAAAACGAGGCATTGTATATGTTCACTTAATTTGGACTTCTAGAAATCACCACGTTAATCAACTAATACCAAAAAATATAAATATTTAGTTACACCGTTAGATCGCATGGTTGTAGTATGATTTTAATTTTCCAATGACATACTACTACTTCTTCTTATTATTATTTATCATCATCATCATCATCATCATCATCATCATCATTATTATTATTATTATTATTATTATTATTATTATTATTATTATTATTATTATTATTTCTTACGAAGAGCTTTTTTAAAACAACTTTTCAACTCTCTAATAATTAATTAATTCGTTTTTATATCACACCCTCATATATTAATCCACTACGGAGTACCAAATTTAATCTACATATGTGACTATACGTACCATGGATGAATGAAATAGCCTTACTATGATCTAATTAATGGGAAGAAAAAAAATGACATATCGTTCAGTGAAGGCATGTAAATTACCATTAAATCATAGTGTGATTACATAACAGTAATGTAGCTAGAATGATGCTATGAATGCATAGAGAATATAATTCTATTTGGAAAAGGAATTAGATTTAAATGCTATGAGTTGCTTTGTTGGGAGGGAGGAAACAAATTAATTAAGCTCCTCAACCGAATTTGACTTCTTTCTGCAACTTCCTTATTTTTTTTCTTATAATATCGTGTACTCCATGTCAATTACCTTGCATAACTATTTCACCCAATAGTGTTTTTTCATGTGTCATTAATTTTAGAGGATGTGGTCACTACTGGAATTCCACGGGGTCCCTAGGGTTTTCAAATGTTGCCTAGAGCCCTAATTAGAACCCAAGGGGATAATAAGTTCCCTAGAGCCGAAACTAAAACTCAAGGAAATTAAGATGATCCCTAGAGTTTTTGCTTGCTCCTAGGGAAACTAGTACAGTTGGCACTGATAGGAGAACCACGGTGGCAGGGTCCACTGACTTTTTCAGAAATCAACCACGTGGAAAGGTTGTAATAGTTTCTCCCGCCATGTGAATTCAAAATTTGGACTGTGCACCATATTCTCTTTCCATTGGAAAGTAATAAAGTACCCCAAGCTGCTAAACTTTCCCCTTTGTTCTTTCTTCAACATGTTCTTTCATCTCTTCCTCCCCAAATCAATTCCCTCTCCAGTCTCCACCACCAAATCTACCCTCAAGTAGTAGAGATCGACAGGAGCTTCGACCTTTGAGGGTGGTTGCAGCAGCACTCCTGAAGGCCGTGGTGGGCGTGGGCTGATTGCATCTGTTTGCGGCTGAGAGGCGACGCCGGGACAGGGGTGA